TGTGTGTGTGTGTGTGTGTGTGTGTGTGTGTGTGTGTGTGTGTGTGTGTGTGTGTGTGTGTGTGTGATAATTATTGGTACTAATTAGAATATCATGAAAATGAAAACATTTTTCACCTTAATGTGATCGCGAGTCTTTCTGCCGGATGAATATATGGTTGAAAATTCGATTGTCTTAAAATCCCACCTTTAATTCCATTTAAGAAATAAAATGTCTAGACAAATATTCCGAAGTACTCGTGAAACTTATTTGGTTGCTTCTTAAGTTCTTCAAATAGTGTGCAAAATTCTCCATAGATTGGCCATAATACAAATAGTTTATTTACTTGCTCAATTTTATCACTTAATAAATCACTTAAAAATAAAATTTTTAAAACCAGATTCTCTAAGAAGTAAAACTCGTCGATGTCGATGTAAAAATCGTCCATANTGTGTGTGTGTGTGTGTGTGTGTGTGTGTGTGTGTGTGTGTGTGTGTGTGTGTGTGTGTGTGTGATAATTATTGGTACTAATTAGAATATCATGAAAATGAAAACATTTTTCACCTTAATGTGATCGCGAGTCTTTCTGCCGGATGAATATATGGTTGAAAATTCGATTGTCTTAAAATCCCACCTTTAATTCCATTTAAGAAATAAAATGTCTAGACAAATATTCCGAAGTACTCGTGAAACTTATTTGGTTGCTTCTTAAGTTCTTCAAATAGTGTGCAAAATTCTCCATAGATTGGCCATAATACAAATAGTTTATTTACTTGCTCAATTTTATCACTTAATAAATCACTTAAAAATAAAATTTTTAAAACCAGATTCTCTAAGAAGTAAAACTCGTCGATGTCGATGTAAAAATCGTCCATATTCAATGCTACAGAAGGCTAATGTCTGATCAAGGAAATCATCTTATATGTTAATGTAGTGTATGGAATTCGTCTGAACGCTAGTTCGTACGAAAATGCATCGCTGTAACCATCATTTGTCACGTTCGTCCGATGAACAATTCTGACTTATTCGTCAGAATGCCAGTTCGTACGAATACGCATCCACTGTAACCACAGCCTTACACGTACAGAAAATAAAATCAATTGCATTTGCGAACGGCAGGAATCATTAAGCGGTAATAGATGTTTAGCTGATGAGTGCGAGTCAATCTATCACCGAGACCACAGATTAAGTTGTGATAATACTGACATAGCTTATACCTCCGTAGACAGCAGGCTGATACGAAAGATGCCGGCAGCGTATTCCGATGGAGTCTATATGCTTGCTGGCCAGGACAGACCTTCTCCGAGGAAGCTCAGTCAGCTTTTCATGCAAGGCGATGACGGTCTGCCATCGGTCAAGAATAGGACAGCGCTGTTCGCTTTCTTCGGTAAGCATGCTAATCAGTCTGCTCATGATTTACGGAGGCTAGCACGAAAACAGTAACTTCCGATTTCATTGGATCGTTCGAACAATCTTGAGAGCTCTCCGAATACTTTGAAGTCGAAGAGACTCTTCGTTTGATTCTCTTCAGACAATTTTACTGCGCATAGTCGAAACCATAATGCATAGGAATTAAATGAAGGTTCGATATCAAATCGTTTTAAAAGCGATGAAACTGATCGAGGGGAATGAGACGAATGCGGCCAGTTAACGGATACCATGCAAGAATTAATGAACTTCAGAAAAACGAGACATTCGTAGTCGATGATCGTGATACCCTCGTGGACGGTCATTAATTGACTTTATACTTACGCATTTTTCATCGTCGCTTCTTGCTGCGAATGCCACTAACATTTGCCGAGAAAAACCCCTGTAACAGCCGTCCGGTTGCCATCAATGAGCCCATCTGGTTAAATCGTCTGTATCCAGCTGATAATGGGAAATCGCGATGCATCATCATCATCATCATCGTTGTCGTTGTCGTCGTCGTCGTCAAAGGTTTTCTTGCGCGTATGTGCCGCTTATGAAAGTAGCTTGAGTCATGCACTTTTTGTTTCGAATCGATCTAAGAATCTCGCGTTCGAAATCGAAGCGATTTCATTTTAAACGACCTAAGCGCAGACTCAATTTAGTCTAATGCCTTGGAAACCAACGCGAGGTACGACGAATGCGAAGAAAATATTGAATCATAAAGACCGGCAGTCTACTTGCGATATTATTATTATCGATGGATATCGCAGGCTGGTTTGGGGCAAATTCGAAAGTGGACCACTCGCATAATTACCAGCGCATACCGCACCTGGAAATTATAAATAGAAGTCCATTGTTCGCAGTCGCCCTTTTGCGCATTCCGATAAGTATAGTTCCGTAAAGTATAGTTAACAGAATATCGATTTACCGGGAAGCAAGCGTTCGTCATTCACGAATATGAGATAATCGTGCAATCTACTCTGCTAGTATGAGTTGCATGCAACCAATTCGAATATCCGTATCGCGTGGTTGCGCAAACTCTAAGTGTCCGGGATAAAAACGAGCACGCGATTAGACCATACCGTATTACTTTTCGATTAGACCAGAAGCTATGCAGCCTCTATCCAATGATCATTATACAAATTTATTTAATGACCACAAGAAATGCATTGCAATTTTTTACATAGTTTTACGCTACATCGGGTACAACATATTTACTCCGAGGAATTCGTTCCTAAAATCTCGAATCGGAATAACTTACTGGACAATTTCTAAAAAAAGTAAAGAGTTATAAAACGAGAATATTTCATTTCTTTTATTATATTCCGGCTACTTGCAATTATTGAAAAATATTTTTTAAACATTCTCTAGTAACGTAGTCCCTCTAACACCTCTAAAAAGTTCAAGTCATATGGTCTACTTTTTAATAAGCCATTCTATTGTAAAAGGTGTGCGAATACTTTCACGAGCCATTGTACATTATTAACAAATTAATGGGAACAGAGGAATCGAACAAGGGTCAGGCCATAACTCTCAGAAACCGTAGCATCCTTTCTCCTCGAGAAAACGATCGTGGCGATCATTGAACGGTGTTTAAACGGCGCGATCTCGAGTCGCTGGTTTCCGATAGCTCGTGAGAAGTTTGGAGTCTTTGATGGCCGAGGAAAGTGTGTTCTCGAAAAGGAAAGTAAAAACTGGGTCGCTCGCCTAAATTCCGTCGGGCTAAGGTTCCTCGTGCAGCAGGCTCGAGGAAACGATCGATCGGCGAACGATTGGGAAAAGTTGATCGCCAGAGAACCGGTTGCTCATCGCGGGGAAATGATTTCAGGACAGCTGGTCACGTCGGAAATCATCATGGCCAGCGAAAGCGGTTGTCCCATAGAGTACCACCGGATCGACGTAGACAAATGCGATCCGGTTTTCGACAAGGAGTGCCAAGGTAACAAGTACATTCCCTTCCGCCGGGCGGATTATGATCGGCGGACTGGACACAGCCCGAACAGCCCTCGAGAGCAGGTAATTCCTTGATTTCCATCCTAGCAGCCTAACTTGCCTCGTAAATACCTCGAGAGTGTATGATGGTTACCGATAAAATGGCTATTCTCCGCAACAAGTCTTTTCTTGAAAATCCGTCCGAGTCTTCTCGGTGGCTAACAAATTGACAATTTGATCTGGGAGACCTTCGACCAGGAGTATGACTAACGCTAATTGTTAACGATCGAAGTGAAACGGTAATTATTAACCGGGAAAGCACGAAGGATGATTTAAGAGCTCAATAAGGTGTCGCCGTAAACTGTGCTGTTTCCACGTAATGATACCGCTGCGAAACAGGATCCATGCAGTTTAATGAGAACGTTTCCCAATATGGAAACCCGCCTGTAATTAATTTCGCGATTCTAATTGGATTTGTGCTGTCTATAAATACCGTCGCGATTTCTATTCTTCGGGGTCTAGCCGTCATGGTGTGCCGTATTGAGAACCGTTCGACGATGATACTTCGATCTGGGAAATAAGTCGCGAAAAGTAGCTCTGAATACGTGAGGTTCCAGATAAACAAAGTGACGAGCTGGATCGACGGTAGCTTCATCTACTCGAGCAGCGAGGCGTGGGCGAATACCATGAGGTCCTTCAAAAACGGCAGCCTCCTGATGGAACCGACGAGAAAGTTCCCCGTGAGGAACACCATGCGCGCTCCGTTGTTCAATCATGCTGTTCCCCATGTAATGAGGATGCTGAGCCCTGAACGCCTCTACCGTGAGTTCGTCTCTTTTTTCGGGACGCGGAGCTTTGCGCAAACCTAACAAGAGATTGTACAGTTCTTGGGGACCCGAGGACGAACCAGCATCCACCTCTTCTGGCTCTCGGGATTTTGTTTTACCGATGGCACAACGTCATCGCGGCGAGGATACAGAAGGAGCATCCGAATATGGACGACGAGGATGTGTTCCAGAAGGCGCGACGCATCGTCGTGGGGACGCTACAGGTGAAAATCAAACGATTATTCTTCTGATGCTTCTGGTATTTTATTTGATTAACGCTCGTCCCACTGAAATTCTTGATCAAGGAAAGACTGTGGTAATTAATGGAACACCGAAGGTTCCTCGCGGTTACGCAGTGAAGATACTTATGTTAATCCATTTACAGTTAATTATAGTGACATAACAGCCATGGCAAAGAAACTTCTCTGTCACCTCAGCCCTGTCGCACCGTAATCCTATATCATGTAACTGTGCACTGCAACCGTAACTCGATACACTAATTTTATACTGTTTGAGAAATTAATGTGGAATTACGAGGCATAACATTTGACGAAATCGTGGACGTGTCTCTCTGCGAATCACAGAGATCTGTTTCTGTTACAGAATATTATACTCTACGAGTATTTGCCGATAATGCTGAACGAGGAGCTACCGCGATACTCGGGATACAAGTCTGACCTTCACCCCGGGATCAGTCATATATTCCAGAGCGCTGCTTTCCGATACGGACATACTCTGATACCACCCGGTATATACCGTCGTGATGAGAACTGTGAGTTCAGGAGAACCAACACTGACCAGCCCGCCATAAGACTGTGCTCCACTTGGTGGGACTCGAACGTGGGTGTAACTGTTGCTTGGAAGATCTTTTAACTTGAAACACGATGCTTGAAATGATTGATTATTCTGTTACAGGAAGTTTTAACGAACAGCACGATCGAGGAGCTGATAATGGGGCTGGCTTCGCAAATAGCCGAGAAGGAGGACAACCTTTTAGGCACCGACATCAGGAATAATCTTTTCGGCCCGATGGAGTTTTCCAGAAGAGACTTAGGTGCGCTGAACATCATGCGTGGGCGGGACAACGGCCTCCCGGACTACAATACCGCCAGAGCGCACTTCAAACTTCCTCGACGGAAAACTTGGAACGAGATCAACCCTGAATTGTTCAACAAGAATCCCTCCTTGTTGCGCACATTGGTCGAAATCCACTCGAATAACTTGAACAACGTCGATGTGTACGTCGGTGGAATGTTAGAGTCCAGATCTGGTCCTGGAGAACTGTTCTCCGCGGTCATTAGGGAACAGTTCCTTCGTTTGAGGGATTCAGATAGGTTCTGGTTCGAGAACGAGGAGAACGGGTAAGCTGTTCAATGAATCTCAACTGGAGAACGTATTCTGAAGCAATGGTACTCTTCAGAATCTTCACTAAGAGCGAAATCGAGGATATTCGTCGCGTCACCATATGGGATGTGATCGTCAACGCCACTGGAATCCAACCGGAAGTTGTGCAGAAGAACCTGTTCGTTTGGGAGGAGGGAGATCCTTGTCCTCAACCTTATCAGTTGAATTCCACAATACTGGAACCTTGTGTTCCGTTGCAGCGATACGATTACTTTGAGGTGAATAGAAGACGAAGATTCAAAAAGTGTACCTATTCGATCAGCAATTGAAACGTTTCGTTGCTTTTCAGGGAAGCGAGTTGGTCTACATATACGCTTGTGTGTTCCTCGGGTTCGTGCCGATTTTGTGCGCCGGTGCCGGTTACGGCCTGGTGAAATTGCAAAATCGTCGTCGTAGACGGTTGAAGATCCTCCAGGAGGCGATTCAGAAGCGAAACGACGGAAAGATCTGCGTCGACAAGATGATTGTGCGCGAGTGGCTGCACGCGAATCACCGTAGGCTGGTCAAGGTGAAATTCGGCCCGGAAGCAGCTCTCCATATCGTTGATCGGAAAGGGGAGAAATTGCGCACGTTCGATTTCAGCGATGTAAACACCGTAACCATGGAGGAGTCCCAGGTGATTGCGGCAACCGACTCTGTTTCTACCGTTTTATGAAATCCTCGAATCCGCTGAGGAAACACCTCGAGCGGAATCGCGCGAGAACCGTGGCTTACGCAAACTCTCTGTTCGCGCGGTGAAAATTTGTTCATCCGCTCAAAAATTCTTTCTGCGAGCGAAATCTTTGGTAATTCTACGCTTTCGTGAACAGTCTCGAAACACTTGCCTCACACAATGCAATTATACACTGTCGTGTCGTTTCATACAAAAATTGTTAAAAGAGATACAGGTCCAATAGGGTCATGGTGTAGAGTAGCCTAATTTAAGCTAAATGCTCAGTCAATTAATTCTACTGAGAATACTGTTTTCCAAGATGTATAGTTGAACCAGATCTAAAGCACTAGTTATAATTAATTAGTGCCATTTTCCTTTTTCGATATACACGGCGATGCAGCCAAGATAGTTATCCATTTGGCTGCTCTCCCCCATAAAATGTAAAGCATTGCTGTTCAAGTCTGAATTATCTTGGAACGTCTCGGAGTCTGGCTGAGAACAATGACTTCCCTTTTAGGAAAATGGGAATGGTCATCGCAAGGCGTTGGTGCTCCTCCGTATACCGCGAGACTACGACCTTGTCCTTGAACTGGATTCTCTGGCCTCGCGTAGAAAGTTCATTGCGAAACTGGAGGCATTCCTGGCGTCCCATAAGAAACACTTCACGCTGTCCCAGGTCGGCCGGGACATTATGCTTGCGAAAGCGGAAACGAAGGAGCGTCGTCAGAAGAAACTCGAGCAGGTCGCTTTTCTCTTTAACCGGACCAAGTGTCCACCCTTTTCGGGATATCGATTTTTATTGCCTGTCTCTCCGTATTGTGAGATTAACGGGAACATTCCAATTGCAGTTTTTCAGGGAAGCTTATGCACTCACCTTTGGTCTGCGACCTGGTGAAAGGCGACGGCGTTCCGAAGATAGTGACAGCGGGGAAGTTGTCACCGTGATGAGGACCTCGCTTTCTAAAAGTGAGTTTGCCAGCGCGCTTGGCATGCGGGCGGATGCTGTCTTCGTGAAAAAGATGTTTAACATTGTAGATAAGGACAGGGACGGTCGCATTTCCTTCCAGGTACTTTCACAAGCAATCTCCTAAGTCGATAAGAATTCGTTATCTGCAGTTAAAGTAGCATCATTGCGTAAGCATATTTTTAGAATAATTCAATTCACTTATGAGAAACGTTTTGCAGGAATTCCTGGACACGGTTCTCCTATTTTCACGAGGAAAAACGGAGGATAAGCTAAGGATCATTTTCGACATGTGTGACAAGGACAGCAACGGAGTTATCGACAAGGAGGAATTATCCGAGATGTTGAGATCATTGGTGGAAATTGCACGGACCACCAGCTTGTCCGACGACCATGTTACAGAACTGATAGATGGAATGTTCCAAGTAATTTCACGATTAATATTTTTGATTTGTATTGTTAAAATGCATTGGATTACTTGAGAATGACCCTATTTCCAGGACGCCGGACTCGAGCGGAAGGAATACCTCACATACAATGATTTCAAGCTGATGATGAAAGAGTACAAAGGTGATTTCGTGGCGATTGGACTTGATTGCAAGGGTGCGAAACAGAATTTCCTGGACACCTCGACGAACGTCGCACGAATGACCAGTTTCCATATTGATCAACTTCCGTCGGAGGACTCGAAGAGCTGGGCAAGGAAACAGTGGGACGCCATGTCGACATTCCTCGAGGAGAACCGGCAGAACATATTCTACCTGTTCGTTTTCTACGTTACGACGATCGCCCTGTTCGTCGAGAGATTTATATGTTAGTATCTGTTGCGCATGGTTACATGGTTACAGTATTTCGAAAGTTTCGTTACGCAAGGAAACTTGCAGACCTCTCTTAACGTCCTTCAAAGGAACATTAAGAATGAGGGAGCAGATTATGCACTTGCAACATCTGAAAGTTTCCGTCTCTATAGACAAAATTCGAACTTTACCAATTTAATTGTTTTCATTTGTTTCAGATTACTCTTTCATGGCAGAGCACACAGATTTGAGACACATAATGGGAGTAGGCATTGCCATCACCAGAGGATCAGCAGCAGCGTTATCTTTTTGCTACAGTTTATTGCTGTTGACCATGTCCCGCAACCTTCTGACCAAACTGAAGGAGTTTTCAATTCAGCAATACATTCCACTGGACTCTCACATACAGTTCCATAAAATAGCCGCTTGCACTGCTTTGTTTTTCTCCGTTCTCCACACTGTGGGCCACATGGTTAACTTCTACCATGTCTCTACCCAACCGCTGGCACATCTTCGTTGTTTGACAAGTGAGCTCAGCTTTCCCAGCGATGCTCGTTTGACCATCTCCTTTTGGCTCTTTAGAACTGTGACAGGTAATCATTCAGTAGATATTAAAATTTTGATTTTTAGAAAAAAAAAATAGTTAGCTACTGTAACGACAAATGAATAAACCATTAACGTTTATAGGCTTGACCGGAATCCTACTGTTTGTCGTGATGACGATAATCTTTGTATTCGCCCATCCGACTATCCGCCAGAAAGCCTACAAGTTCTTTTGGTCGACTCACAGCCTCTATGTAGTGTTGTATGCACTGTGTCTGATTCATGGTTTGGCTCGGTTGACCGGCTCCCCTCGGTTCTGGATTTTCTTTGTTGGTCCAGCGATAATTTACGCACTCGATAAGGTAAACTGCCTTATCTGTGGATTAACATCTGTATTTAGAACTGCTATTGTTACACATCGTTTTCGTTGATAAAGTTGGATACAGATAATATTCTCATTAAATTATCATGCACAATTTCAGTGAGTAATTGAGTCCAAGTTTATTTATAGTTTTCTGCACAGGTATATTAAGCAAGGTCACAAATTAATATTCCTTAAGTATAAACCTCGATTGAACTTTGAACATAGTGCAATCGTTGTTTCGTGTACGAAAGTATTTATAAAAAGATTGTTGTGACTGTCAGTTAACACATTATTGTTGTAATTCCAGGTAGTCAGCCTTCGGACGAAGTACATGGCGCTGGACATCATCGAGACGGAATTACTGCCGTCGGACGTGATAAAGATCAAGTTCTACAGGCCGCCGAATTTAAAGTACTTGTCTGGCCAATGGATCCGGCTCTCCTGCACCGCCTTCCGGTCGAACGAATTCCACTCGTTCACCTTGACCTCGGCACCACACGAGAACTTTCTATCCTGCCACATCAAGGCCCAAGGTCCCTGGACCTGGAAACTGAGGAACTACTTCGATCCCTGCAATTACAATCCCGAGGATGAACACCCGAAGATAAGGATAGAAGGTCCATTCGGTGGCGGGAACCAAGACTGGTACAAATTCGAGGTCGCTGTGATGGTCGGCGGTGGAATCGGTGTCACTCCGTACGCCTCTATGCTTAATGACCTCGTTTTTGGTACTTCCACCAATAGGTACTCAGGAGTCGCCTGTAAAAAGGTAATTAATTTCTGCGAAATATCCAAGCAATTCTTTGTGTGTGTGTGTTCCATTTATATCCTTAAAATGTATGCGAAACGTCCTTGAAAAATCTGTACAACATTCACAAAAGGCAGAACAAAAATCCGCCATGAAGAATGGCCCAGTAAAGTAGGTCGGTTTCGTTGAGACAAATAGTATAGGCGTTTTATTGACCAGTCATTTACCAGATAAGTGGTATATCCAGCCTTTGCCAGACAAGTAGATTAGGCTGGCAGTTGATCAGACAAGTATTAAAATAAATAACGTTGATTTTATCTTTGTAGGTCTATTTCCTGTGGATATGTCCTTCGCACAAGCACTTCGAGTGGTTTATCGACGTCCTCAGGGATGTCGAACGAAAGGACGTCACAGATGTCCTAGAGATTCATATATTTATTACACAATTTTTTCACAAATTCGATCTGCGTACTACTATGTTGGTAAGATACTTTTCTCTTTCCTTAACCTTGCGTTTACTCTTCGCAACAGTGAAATAACAAAAAAAAAAATACTTTTTTCAGTACATTTGCGAGAACCACTTCCAGAGACTATCCAAGAAGAGTATTTTCACCGGACTAAAGGCGATAAATCATTTTGGTCGACCCGACATGACCTCGTTCTTGAAGTTCGTTCAGAAGAAGCATAGCTACGTGAGTTTCACAGATTTACTTTAACTCGTTAATTCTTGTCAACACCTTTGAAAGTAATTTGATGATGTTTCAGGTCAGCAAAATAGGAGTATTTAGTTGCGGACCACGCCCCCTGACAAAAAGCGTGATGTCCTCCTGCGATGAGGTGAACAAAGGTCGTCGCCTGCCCTACTTCATCCATCATTTCGAGAACTTCGGCTAGTCCTGTCGCGAGAATAGGAGAAGAGGAGCGATGGACTCTATCGCGAATCTCATGGGACTCTACCTTATGTATATATTTATGCGCGATGCTCGTGCGCATCGTTTATTTATACTGAGTATTACATTTCTTATTTATGTTAAAAAAAAAAAACAGGCGAACACGTTTTTTCTTTATATTCTCAATCATGGCTCACACACCGTCAAGATATACTTCCTTGCCTTCCTCAGGAGTTCCAGAACTGAAGTGGACCCTAGACGCTCAATAATACTGCACAGTCACTGTACAATATTATTGAACATTTTAGGAGGACACAGATGACAAGTCGAATAAAAACAAAATCCTTTATTTTCGGAATGTCCAAGAGTACAATTAACAGAAATCAGCCGTTGATCGTTCTCCGCGAAGACGACGGGAACGGATACGACCAGTTGTTCTTGGTCGTGTCTTCGTGCTGAAAGTCCGAAGACTCGTGCGAAGTGTAACCCCGGTTTATTACACCCTGAGTGTCTTCTTTGGCGTCATGTCTGCTCTGCAGCTTCGACGACAGTTGACTGAAAGGATTAACAGGAAAGAAAGACTAGCAAATTCATTGTGAATCGAATTCCATAGCGATTAATTAGATAGAACACCTTATTATTCGATCGCCGAAGGAATCTTCGATCTTAGGCAACCGTCTTCTGATGTTCCGAGTATCGAAACTCTCTTCTATAATCACGTGCCTATCGTATGGTGTATCGTAGTCGACCTCTAATATAGTGGAGAATTGATGAGGAAATATCATATCTATCGCAGTGATCACTGCCCCGACGAATAGGCATCCGATACCTGCGACAAGAATCATCCTTGAATCCTCGTCCTTGGAGTAACACTTGGGAGTATAGACTAACACGAAGTACCTACCAGATAGCAGAATCAGCCAATAGTTCCATCCTAAATTAAAAGCCAGAATAGAACCATCCACGTGAGCTATGAGCGGCTCGCATGGCAACAATGCCCAATATATTAAATTGGTTAGCAGCATGCAAATGCCGGTGGAAATCATACCGTAAGCGCCGTACCGTGGCACTACCACCAGTAACAGATTCATCAGGGTCCAAGAGGCGAAGGATGTCCTGAAAAGCGTTGCTTAAAAATTAACACATACCGCTAAAACCGTTTAGTCAACAATAGAAACATTTTCATCGTTTTAATTATTATAAGTTAGTGATTTCCTAAGAAGCATTTGAAGAATATGCATATAACAGTTTCGAAGAGAGCAAAAAAGTCGTAGTTACCAAAGCATGAGAGAGGCATAGTAACCAGCCTGGCGGTATTTGCTTCCCCATGAGAATCCTTCCTGGTGAAGGCTGAAGTATTCAGCCAAAGAAACTATGGGAAACGGAGCGCCCTGATTTAACGCTTGCTTGAAAGCGCTGGTCATTTCTCCAGTACTCCTCCACCAGAATCTCTCATTGTACTCCACGTCATCCATCGGGTGCTCGCTGCTTGGTAGTACTACAAGAGCTCCGGATTAGCATAAACAATCATTAGAAAGCAATTCGTGCAACTCGCGTATGTCACATTGTGAATCGTACGAATTAAGACGTTCCTATCGACTCACGCCGGTAAGTGATGTTGATGTGCATCAAACCGATGTAGCCGCCGATCTCGGCGGTGGTCTTCTGTCCGGAATAAGCACTGTACGTGCTGACAACTGTTGCCGAGCTGGTGTGCCAAGACGATCCATACTGCGCGACTGGAAACAGAGATTCGTTCAAAAGGTTATTCCAGAGGAGGAAAGAGAAAACTCGGTTAATTGCAGGCAAAGTGGACCGAACCTTGTATCGAGGCACCGACGAAGAGGCTCAAGGTCACCGTGAGAAACGTGCTCAATCTCTGAAAACGCAACAGGTACCATTCATCGCCGACCGTTCCCCGTTCTATTCGAGCTAATCAATTTGAAATTTAATCTATTTTTTTTCTATCTATCTCTTCGATCAATGAAAAATTCAGGATACAAGCCTCCTTACGAATCCCAGGGAAAATGACTAGGAACGCGGTGAAGATCGTGCCGAAAATCACGAATACGATCACAAGGGGTACGTCGCCGGTGACGGGTGTCCTGTTGTTGTAGCTGTACAACGTCGGCCCGCCGTCGATGCGGAACGCGTCGAACCATCCCTTCATCGTCGCCGAACAATTTCTGGAGTCGAGACCCTGAAGGAACCGGCCAGTTCCGGTTCTCCTTTCAAGCCGCTACGCATCAGAGGACTCTCCCCGACTATTCTTCGCGATGGAACGAAAAAGGCGCACTGCACAAAAACAATCGAGTCCAGATCGATTCAACGATTCCGGAGCAAAGCAGCAGCAAACCGGAGAATTCGCGGTACAAGTAGCTCAGAGACCGCCACGCTTAGCTAGCAGCGTCCAAGGACGATCGTTGCGAAACGAAAGGCGGCTGGTAGCACGCACCTGCGTCGTCGCCGTGGAAGTCAGAACGGATACTAAGGTCCCCGAGTAGGTTAACGGGTCTTCGAAAGTGACTTCCAGCCGCCGTTGGTAGAGGGGATCTAGAGGATCTAGAGGGGAGAACGAAAGAGAAAGACAGGTGGGGCTGCAGCCAGAAGGAGTCACTCGGGCTGGGAGAACAGGGACAAAACGATGCACCGATCAGCTGAGCCAGGAAAACCCGAGCCCCTGCAGCTTCTACGGGCTGCCCGGTTGTTTTATTTCGGCGGTCCGACGATCGATGATCCCGGATGACGACACCGGACGGGTGACACGCGAGCGTGGATCGCTAGGCACGCTGATGGCACGCCGGAGACTTCAACGCCGGCACTAGTCCCGAGGCCGATTGTTTCCCAGGAATTCTTACCGGCAACCGCGTAAGACCGAAATAAATCTGAACTGCGAAATGTCCGCGGAATTCGTTAAATTGCAGTCGATTCTAATAATATGTACTCTGTTGTAGCGACTGCTCGATGCAGAAACCTTTTGGAATCGAAGATCATTGCGCCTGCGACGAGGGATACGGTGTCGCTGACATCTCCAGGGCGTTAAGCATTCTCAATCGTAAGGCGATCATCCAGAAAGTAGAATTTTATTCGCAAGAATCTCGGTGTTCCATGCTAAGTTCGCGGATGATGCTGGATATGGTGTACACATTATGTCAATAATTTGCTACTCGTTGAGTAAATTCTTAACATACTATACCCATTATTGTCGACAATAAGTACAGCATCTTTTTCAAATTTGTTAAGGAACAACGCGTGATTTTGTGCTTGCTGTACATCAAGATATCAGAAACAAGACACTTCGACCTGACGCCAACTTAATACAGACAATAAGTGAGGTGGGAAATTCGGAAACTATAAAGTGACGCGAAACATTCATTAACGTAAACGGTACTTTTCAGCCGGGGCTGCGACAACAGCGTCTCAATCGCGAAGTGGCCGGCTATGAATCGCTGCTATGAATCGTGTCCCTTGATCCCGATCAATGCCGTCGGACGACGATCATAAGGTCAGTAGTACTCGACTCGTTAAGCCTATTAACGTCTGGCTGCCTAAATCCATTCACGATCTCCTCGGGCGACATCGAAAATAGCCGAGCGGAGTAACCTGGCAATTACTGGAAGATGCTTGAACGGGAACGCGGGACGCCAGGTGTCCGCCCGAGGAAGCTGAAGAGAAGGAGGCGGCCGCTAGAGAGGAAGAGGTGCCAAGAGGACATCTCGGGCGTGTCCGGTACCGGTAGCGGAAGCGACCCGTTGTGTCCACCTTGTCCTATACGACGGGAGGACGACGAAAGGTATGCCGTGTGTCCAGGCTGGTTGGTCCATAGTGCCGGCAATAACTCCGGTCTATTTCAGGCGGTCTAATTCGAGCCGGGTGACGGTGAGCTTTTAACGGCAGCGCTGCTAGGTAGCATCATCCACCGTCGCCGCTGCCACCACCACCGACATCGCCACCAGCGGCTCCACCACCACTGCCAACGATAACCACCGGAACGAGCAGTCCGGTGGCTGGCTACTCGCGCAGTCTCCTGAGCGCGTACGCTCCCAATACACCGACAACTGCTCCTCTGGCTTTTCCAAGGTAAACGAACACCATCCGATAGATCGTTGCTCTCCCTGGCAGAGAAGTGTCCGGACGAATCCGCGAGCTCAACATGGGAGACCCTGCGACTCGAAGCGTTCAGGCTGTGCGCGATTGTTCTAGCTAACGGTTCTCATTGTAGTCACCCTCGACTGGTCGGGTAGGGTGTCCCTGACGAATCCATTTGTTTGTGCTTGTTCAGAGTAACTTATTAGTGAATTATCCAGCGATTCTACAAATGTGGTAAGCTAGCGTTTAGTTTTCAAGAAAATAAGACGTGCGGCGTATACAATTTCTGACCTAGCTGAGCGCTAGATTCGATTCTCGAGACACTTGATCGTACTGGTTGAATTATTAATTAGTTAAGAGAAAATTGTAACGTTGTTCCTGGAAGGATGTACGTAACTCTGCTACTTTATAGCAAAGTAACTTACCTAAATGTCGAATTGCTAAATCAAACGATAGCTACCACATTATCCATTCGTTTCTGCGAATCGTGAATGAAAACGACGCGTGAATGACTATCGGACCGGGTGCTTCTCGCCAGGGGTGGCAGCGAGCCTGTTACTTCGCCTAATCTCGCCCGAGCAAAACTAACACAAGTGTCTGTCAGGATTCGGCTAAGATAACCACCACCGAGCATCCTCCTCGGCTTTCTCCTCGCGGTGGTCGTCGAAAGCGGTGCGTACGAGAAATCGGGGATCTTGTAAGCGGATAGATCGTGATCGAAATAGCGGTTCACGCGGAACGCGGGGAAGAAGGAGAGCGGAAAACAGAGAGAAAGAGAGAGAGATAGAGAGTGAGAGATTCGTCATCGTGCCGGCATCGGCTACCAGGTGCGAGTTCGAGAGAGGATTGACGCGTTGGACGACTGCCCCGTCGCGTTTCCGATTCATCTGCCGGACCAAAATCGGCCGGCAAACCGGGCAACAAAGTGCCGGCGCAACGCGCTGATATCTGGCAGTGGTCCACGGTAGTCGAACGTCTTCGAAAAATCCTGCTGTAACCCGCCTCGGGGCGAGAAGGTCGCACGGCACTACGTATTTCGGTAAAAAGCGTACCGGCGAAGGCCGACGAAGGTGCTTTCTCGGGAAGGTGGTGGCTGTTCGGTAGTCGTCCACACCGCGGTGAAACTCGCCCGGACTATTTATAAAGCGAGTAAGCGTCCTCGTGGCAACGCGGCCGCGTGTGCAGCCGAGCCGCCTAGGCGCTTCTTGCCTATCATGGTCGCACCGCGTGCAAACCAAACTGACCGGAACATCTCGTCCGCTTTCTTCACCCTCCCGGCGCTTTTACTCCGTTCCATTTCTTTAATTGCGGAGAACGACCGACATTGTTCCGATTCTGCCTCTCCTCCTCTTCTGACCGATGCTTCGCCGATCCCGCCACTCTTCGATTGATATTGTTGAATTCATTTAATCAGCCTACTATAAATTGCACCTACACGTTATTGTCGTAAATGCATAAAATCCGTGGTCTAGTTGTTAACAGTTCTACGACACTCTAAATCTATGAACATTCCGTGTGTAGATCGCTCCGTTCGTCCGACTCAGGAACGTTCGACCGGAGGATTTTGTAATAGCGTGGCAGATCCTGTTACTTAACTGTTAATGCCGGTGGTTTTTCACGACCGACCGAAAGCAAAAAAATCCGAGCTATTTGTTGCTCTTTCGTTCATCGAACGGAATGACTGAGGATCGCGATTGCGCAACGCTCGCGGAAACATTTATTATCATACGCGAATCAACAAATGGAGTGTTTATTTACCGCGTTCCAAAGGATACGCAGTCGATGGTAATACACGAGCATGCGAGGAGAGAAAACGTTTTTATCTATGGTAGCCTTTTCTTAGCTGCGTCCCGACACGTGTGCGAACATCTTCTTACTCCGTCTTTCTTGATTCTTTGAAACTGCGACGTACAATTATTACGGTTACGAATCTTATATATTAGTAGAATAATCTTTACAATTGTTTCCTGCGAATTATCGTTCTTAGAAATAGTTTAGAAAGCAGGCCGTTGATTTTGCGCTTCTTTGGTAGTAGAATCGCGCACCGAATCGTCGGATCACGTAAACAGAGTCGGAGATATTATAAATATCCATCAGGATCCGTAAACTTGTGAGCGAAGACGTTAAACATGCATTATTCGTTCCAAATGTTTACGCGTCTTTCGCAGTGGGTTTGTAGACCACATGCGCATTCTAATCTAGAAATTAATTCCGTCTGGACTATTATTTCTAACGGCCGTTCCTTTTCGACGAGTCCCTTACATAACACGAGAGATTCAACGATTTGTTCGCAAGAAAGATCATTGCCCCAGTTTTCGACGGGAATTTATTACCCAAACATGGTCCGTTAATTCGCCGAGCGTGCACCGAGCCGGCGTGTCAACATTAGAAACGCTAGACCGGGTCTCGGGATTAGCGTCTGTTCTAAAATTAATTACAAACATTCGAATGGAAGGGATATATTTCAATCGATACACTAATATCGAATTTCTCGTTTCACGATCGATGAAGACATACACATACGCGTGTAGTCATTTGTATCCGTGCTAAATGATTGACAGTAAATGTCCATAGTCAAAATACGATAATTGGTTTCACTGGCAGTGATCGGTGCTTCAAAGGATCACGTTGGATAGGAAAGATCTTTCTCCCGATTCTCTCGATCGCGGATTCGGTTGTATCGAGTCGGGGCGCAACTCGCATCGGATCAGCGGGACTTCCTAATTTCCGTATGCGCGAAAACAGGTCAAAGTTATTTTCGCGCGAGGCCTGCCGTGTTCCAAACAGCCGCCAACGCTTCTCTGCGATCGCGGATTGCATCGGCTAGACCTAGAGTCGGCCATTTAAGGAGTTTCGGGAAGCCTTTTTCCGAAAAACCAATCGCTATACTGCGGATATTTATGCAAATTGTCTTTAGTAAACAGATTCGTGTCGCTTAACAAACGCGCTTTGTTTACGGAATACAAATTTAAACGCTTAGAATGGTAGAACCGCTGATCCCTATTAGCTTGTTGGTAGCAAGGCTTAATATTCGCAGTGGCAGACCGTAGTTTCGCGGAAACCGAGAGTTCCGTCGTTCACCAAGGAGTCTCTTCGGGGTCGCCGGAATAAACCAACCATCGGATAGAAGTAGCTCAATGTCGCCGTGCTTGAAACGCCACAGCTAAGTAGGGACAATATTCCTAGAAATCCTCGGCAGACACTTGTGATCCATCTGACAGCCATTGACAGACTTGCGTCCTCTAATTTGCCTGAAGATCCCGAGAGACTTTGACGAGCAATAATATTACACAATATTATTGAGCGTCCGAAGGTGACTCGAAACATTTATGCAATGTGTTGTGTCAAAGAAAAAAGAAATCTCGTAACGTCTGTAACATTGAAACATCTTCAAATAACATTGCGCAATGTTTTCCTTCTTTACTAAAATCATTATGCTTTACCGAGCATAAACAATGGGTTTCCTTAGCTGCCTCATTTTTCTCGACGATTTCAAGTGAACTGAAATATTGCACAATCCTCATTTTGAGATACCATTTGGTGTTGAATCTTATTTATTATTTTCAATGGACAAGTGTTATAATTGCGAATTTGATTATAATTAAAAAATAAATTACTATTTGAAACGTTAGAAGGATTAAAAGAACGGAATGTAGATATCACTTTCATGTTAAAATTATTGGAGAAAAATAGAAATTCCTGTTACATTAAATTGTTCTTTTGCATAAAGATCAACCATCCAATTGTAATACAATAGTAACTAAAGAAGTGATTTATCAAATCGACCTAATTTGGATAGGCCTGAGCACAGTAATGTAGAACATACAAGAATATTGTTGAAAATAATGGGATGTTGTAGAAAATAGGAAAATGTTATAAAAGATAACAGAACGTTGTAGAAAATATGTAGAGGATGTAGGATGTTGTAGAAAATAGTAAGATGTTTTAGAAAATGAAAATGATAAAAAATGATAAAAAATAGTAAAATGTTGTAAAACATGGTAAAACGTTCTAGAAAATAGTAGAATGATGCAAAAAGTAGTAGAATGTTGTATAATATTGCAACATTTAGTTTTAATGTGTTCAATGGACATTAAACAGACTGAATAAAACAAGGATGTTTGTTTTCGTTTACAGGCGCCCAGTCGAAGCAGAGGATCAAAATGTCGGAGACGGAAGGTGAGGTCTTCTTTACGAGCTGGCGTCACGATGTTCTTTGAATATCTCTGGCCTAGAAATATTGAGTATCGTAAATAGATAATGAACGAGCACACGTCCAGGAGCTCTGGGGAAAAAGTACGATGATCGAAGATGCTGAAAACCGGCAGACTCACTCGAGAACATATGACTCTCTCTTTTTATCTGACTCTTTCTTGCTCTCTCACTAGTTTTCTCGTCCCCTCTCTTTCTCTAATCTGGCAAACGTAACATCTCATTAACGTAACCGTTCCCCCTTACTCTTATCGCTCTGATCTTACTTCAAGATTGATGAAAATTAGTGCACGTGATTGCTGAACGTGCACTGTCTGCTCGCGTAAAGCTGCGTGTCCACCAAACGAAACGTTAAACCCTTCTATTAAATTCTTGATCACTGTCTTCTAGATCTTATTCGGACAAAAGTGTACTTGTTCAGGTACAAAACACGTTTTTGTAAACTGTAAACGCATTCAAATCACTGAATCGAAATATTTGTATCATTTTATTTAGGGATGTTCACAAAATTATCTTCTGCGAGGAACGCTCTTCCTTGCTTCGTCGTTCGATAAACGATCGTAACAGCGGAATAATTCACGGAAATGTTCTATAAACGTTTTGTTATCGTTCGCCGACTCTTCTGTTGACAATAAGGAACACAGTTTTGGTGGATCCGCGGCTAAACTTTGCTGTGTTCCGCTACGTTGCGATACTCCGCCACTAAAAGCAGTCATTAAAATCGCCTCTGGAGGCACGTGTGATCGTCACGGGACGCAGGAGGTTCCATTAATCGGCTTCCGTTATTTAGTCATTGGTTGATACTTGTCTGATATCTTTATTTCAAATGTTCATGCGATTTTCGCTGCGCTGCGAGCCCCGGCACCGATCGTCGACGTAACAGTGAATCGACGATGATTTCCAGATATTCGAGGCGTGGTGGAGAGCAATGATTTCCACAGTATCATCGAGGCGGAGAGCGGCAGGTCCAGTTCCGTTGACTATTTAGACACTTACGAGGACGTGCCGAAGGAGTCGAAGGAGGTGTCCGAGGAGAGCAACTGCGAGGAGTTCAAAGAGGACAAGGTGTCGTTCGTGGAGACCGTGAAGAAGCCCTTCGAGCAAGAGAGGTTCACACAACCAGGTTCGTGACGTATGGTAACTCGTGGATAGATGGATCACCTGAATCTCGAACTTGAACTGTTCAAAGTATCCGATAATGTTCTTCGAGCTTAAAGATCAATCCCTTTGTTCTGCACACTTCGAAGCACTTTGAAAGAACTGCACTGTATTTTTCTTCATTTTCAGAAAATTCGTTGCGATTCACGCTTAGCATAACGAGTTTTCGTTAAAAACATGTTTGAAGTCCCAATACTGAATGTTTGAATCGAATGTCGGACGCGTAAGGCGGAGAAGTTGTGGTGAATAACATCTCGGTGGTGGGACTTAATACAATTGATTATACGTATATTGTACTAAATGCTGAAAGCGCATCTTTCCTTTAAGATCGTCATGGTTTGTAGCGATGCAAACGGTTAGGATCTGTAGGGTGTAAATCAGGTGCCCTAGGGTGATCACATCCCCGCAAACACGCTTCACCATAAATAGCTCAAAAGACTAAGAGTCTAAATGTTCATCTCTTTTCTTCCATGAATCTCCTCCCGTCGAATCATCAACGGCACTGTCCAGTTAATATTGTCTAATTACATATTTTCTGACGCATAATCTCATACAAATATCAACTACACATATCAAGAAATCGGCAGGACAACTGTCAGGCTCGAAATTTGTATTATTCAATGTAGAAGGAAAAAAGATCTACAGCTGCAAACTGAAAAACAGGTACTAGAACCTAGAATTCTAAATATACATTGCACACTGTGATCAATCATATCGCGTCAAAAATACACGTTTCTGTACAAGTATTAAATCAAATCTTTTTCTTGACGTATCGCCAAGAAAACTGAGATTTCGCTGTTTCGAACAACCGCTATCGCATCGACCCTTCGCGGTCCCCGATTGTTGCACAATTAAAGAACAATTGTATAAACGGTTTTCAAAGCCGTACAATGAAGTATACAATGTTACTGCAAATTCTGAAATAAAGCGGACGCGAATGGTTAAGTATAGAAACGCGGTAGATCGTTGTACAACAAGCGTTCGAGCGCAGATCCGGATGATCCAGTGGCAAGGATCCCGGCTTTCCTCGGGGAGATAGGTGTATCAGGATCAGAGCACAGGTAGCACGCGACGATTGATCGCGAACGAGAAAGTAAAAGAAACCTGGTGGACCATCCATCCTCGAATTACCTCGCAGCCGAGGAGACCGAGAAAATCGGCTCGCGTCTTCTCAGTCCGTCACGCTTGCTCGCAGGCAGCTGCGAGGCGTTGAACGAGCGACCGAAAATAAATCCCGCGGAGAATCCGGTGGGTTTTAAATAAAGAGCGAGCGCGCGATAGCCGGTCAAACTCAGCCGGCCTCTCCCTTTCGGTCTCTCGCGAAAACCCGTCGGACATTCTGCGCTTCCGTTTTCTTATCCGACCGTGTCTAATTAACCCGAGCATCGGTGCCGTCCTCTGCAAACAGGGACGAGTTTATACGATTCCCGGCGAGAGAGACTGTGCTGGAACGAACGACAAAGCCGGGATTGCCCGTCTATCTGTAATCTCACCGAGTCTCGCACACTTCGGAGAACAGGATCGGCACGAAAATATTTTTCATTCGAAGAACTAGGTTCATTTAACACGTTCAGCGCCGAAAATCGAGCCATAAAATTCCCAACGAAATCGAAGTCACATAGTTCGATTAATGACACTGAAACTAGAAAGCTCGTCACGGTGGATGGCATCTAAAGATCCTAGTAAAATTCGGTCTGTTCGAATATATTATAACGAAAATGAATTTTGTGAACCAGCTAAAAACTTCGTGTCAGCCGTATGTGACCGACGCGGCGCTCAACGTGTTAATAGTTTCATTTGACACCGGGGAACTGTATTATTAACGCTTTCAGGGCGAATGTCGACATAGTGGTGACACCGAGACTGTACATCTTACTCCAGAAATTGCAGACATATTATTTAATTATGTACACGACAAAAGTTCATTTCTCCCATTATATAAGTCTCTGATACGCAATCTAGTTCTCTGAGGAAAATGTTCTTGGCGCTTTGGAAAAAGCGTCGTCCGCAAAGGGTTAGTATCTAACTAAAACTTACAATAGTTATAGATTGAAGTAACTACGCAGTCTAAGATGCAGGATTTTTTGTATGAAAGATCATCTCTTAAAGAAGAAAAGGCTCCCAGGTGTACGAGATCTATTAACCCTCCGTTGCTCATGCGAAAGAACTTTTGTCATTTTGAAGATTCTTGAGATTTTGATAATACTTTGTTTGCAGACAAAGAAATTTACTGTTAATACGATAGGATAATCTGTGATTCATAATAATTATCTTTAGTTTATTGGGGATTGTACACCAGATATGAGCAATGCAGGGTTTATTCGGTTCGCTAGACTCGCAAGTGATGCAACAGCTTCAACTAGAATTGTCCGTGTAGTCGATTCGAACAGTAAAAATATATTACTCGTGCAACGCTTGCGTATCAGACGCACAAAAAGTAGTGAAACTTGTTTAACACTAGAACTAGTGAGTAGCCGCAGTAACGACTTCTTCTGATAAAGAGGTTTAAAAGCCACTTAATGGAACGAAAAGAAAACGACAAATGAGTCGTCCTCGAAAACAAGTGTGTTCGTTCGTGTAAATACTACCCCTGGCAAGAGGCGTTCGATCGTACAAACCTCGCGTTCATCAATCGTCACGTCTAAATGAAACACCTACACCAAAATACGCTCTTTTGTTCGCCTGCGATTTCGCGGAAACATTCAATTGTCTACACAGCCTCACCAAGAACGTCGACGTCTATCTTCTTCGTTCATAGTATTGAAATTGTTCCAATACCGTGTCATGCCACTTAAATAGCCTTTCGTCATTTGTACACGTCGCTGAACACAATTCAACGTCACATCACAATCGGTCACAAGAATATAGCACGCCGTCGAAAACGGGATAACTTTCCCCAAATTGGACTAAACGAGCTGTCAGAAAATCTTTTCGAGCTGTTCAAAAATTCTAGTTTACTGGACAATGTACAAGAAAATTGTTGCAAGAATTGCAATCGGTCGGATGACATGTGAGAATAACGAAATCGTTGTTCGACTTTTTTATCCGACAACGAAAAGTCAAACGTTAAGTTTCCAAGATTTCGATGACACGCAAGCATGCTGAAAATTACATCGATACTGTTGCGAGCTACAAACGACATGTATTTCTAAATTTCTTTCTATTATTTTTATCAGTCGTAACTTTTGGAAAGCCTGTGCCAGACATTGCCTAGTATATAAACTAGTTCTTCTAACATCTCAAAAAAGGAATTCACGTTTGAATCTAATTTGGAAAAAGTTATTCCGTTTTAGCACTTTGATTGTCACGCCATATATGCGGCTGATTTTCTTAGATTTGAAACTCACTTATGACGCTGATCTGTTACAGCTTCCTATATTTCTATCAAGATCCGTGAAACGTGGCACAGCATAACATTTTTAATTCGATGAAATAAAATTCTTCTATTTTGTGAGCTGTTCGAAGTTGTTGGCGCGGCAGTGACGATGATGTTAAGAGCTGATCCACGTCTCTGTGGTCGACTGTATCTAGTTTCGAACGAGGATCGAACACGTTTGGCCAGGGGCGGTATCCCCGCGTTCCTCGAGGCAGCCGCTCCGGTGGCCAGGTCGGCAGGGTTCAACCCCCGTCTCGTGTCGTTTCTTTTTCAGCGCGTTCGACGCCGGAAACAACCGTAGCGGTCGTCGACGCGACCGGCACGACCGACGCGACCGGCACGACCGGCGCGAGCGACGCGACGGTCGCTAGCTCGGCAGTCGAAGAGGAGCAGCCGGTCGCCGAAGAAGTAGGGGCGGTGGAAAGCGGTGATGGACAGCCGACGGAGACCTCGGCAGTCGGTGAGTGGAATTCGTTGCCGGTGCTGGTAGAGCGTCTGCGGACAGCGCTCGAGCACTCGCTGGCCTCGTCGGGGAGCGGTCAGGAGACCGAGGAGCCTCCTCAGCCGGTGCCGGAGGACTCCGGCGTGGACTCTGAGGAGGACTTCCGGCTGCGGAATTCGATGGAAAGGGTGCTGGTCGACTGCAAGGAACCGGAGCTACGGAAGGACCTGAAGTTCCTCGAGGACCTGTTGCTGTCTGACATCGAGACCGCGTTGTCGCGGCTTCGCGAGACCTTGGAGCGAATCGACGTCGCAGCACTAGCGAAGAACGGCGCCGCCTCAGACCCCACCAGCAAGCTGCACCTGTTGGGCCTGGTGTCCAGCCTGTTGTCCAGACTGCAGGGGCCCGAGGAGAAAGAGAAGCAGCCGGAGAAACAGCCGTTGCCCTCGGCGACCGTGGTGCTACCGTCCACGTCCTCCAGCAGGCGGCGCAGAGGGACCAGACACACCATCGGCGTCTCCGCCGAGGAGCTAGCGAAAGCAAGGAAGTGGCTGGAGGAGGAGAGGAGTCACTTTGCGCAGTTGGAGGATGTTTTGCCGGTGAAAGAGAAGGAGACTGGTGGCAGCGAGGCTGCTGCGAGCCTGGAGAAGAAGCCCGAGGAGGTTCGGGAGAAGTGCATCAAGGACGCCATCAACCAACGTCAGGTGCTGGAGGACAAGAACAAGGTGATCAGGGAGAGTTACAAGGTGCCGCAGCCGGAGGAGCCGAGCGAGGCTGTACAGACTCAATACAACGGCTACCAAGCGAACTGCGAGAATACCGCGCAGAGCAACGAGGAGAACGACGAGAGAAGTCGCGTGAGCCAGCTAGCGGCTGTTCTCAGACAGCGCGCGGAGTTAGCTTCCAGCAGGTATCCTCCGCCTAACAAGTTCACCGCGAAGAAGTCGAAGATCAAACGAGCGAACACTATAGACATACCCAGCTACCTGAAGCTGCAGGCGGAGAGTCTCGGCCGCGAGAGCACCGGTTGCGTCTCCCTAAGGCGGCCCATCAACGTGGGGGACAAGGCTAGCCTGAACGCCGGCAGCGCGGTGCCGACGTTGCAGCCGAGAACGGAGAACGACAGGAAGTTCCTGGCGTTGATCAACAAAAACAACGAGGCGCCGGTGAACACAGCGGTCCCGTACAAGCCGTTCGGGTTCACGAAGACGACGGACATGTCCTCGCTGGCGAACAAGAACTGGAACAGCAGGTTCTCGAACATCAAGACGGCCTTCGACAAGCCGACCGGTCCCGAGGAGAGGGAGAACAGGCCCTCCTTGAAGGACAGGGCCAACAGGATGTTCCCGGGAGCAGCGCAGAGTCCGGCTTACCCGACGGACTCGGATCCGAGGTCGAGCTACAACCCGCCAACGATGAAGGACAGTGGCGGCGGCGGCGGCTTCAGACACGCGCCGTCCTCGCCGTTCAGGAAGATCGAGAAGTCGCCCGTGTCGCCGTCCAAGGTCCCACCGTCCTATCACTGGCCGAAGAGCGCTCCGGTGCCGACGAGCACCTTGAAAGAAAAGGCGAGGTTGATGTTCGACAACGCTCCGACGAAAACCAGGCCCGAGGCGGAGCATCATGAGAGGCCCGCCTTGCCGAGACCGCCCTGGCTCGATCAGGACAGGAGCCAGAACAAAAACGGGCCGATCACGGAGAACGGCAGGATCGACTACAAGTCATTTTGCAAGCAGTTCGCTCCCTTCGTCGGCAAGAGCACCGTGGACACGAGGAAGTTCGAGAGCCCGAGGAAGTTCGAGAGCCCGCGGATCCGAGAAGCCGGCGTGGTGGACGGCAAGATATCCTTCAAGATCCCCGTCAGCCAGACACCTCCGAGGATCCAGCAGTATCCTGTCGATCGTCGCGAAGCCAAAGATAATAAAGTTCCTCCTAAGAACACGTTCGAGACGATCAAATCGGCTGGCTACGGCGAGAGGGAACCACCGAAGCCACACTTCGCCGATGCTACCTTAAGAGGCAGCTCCTCGGTGGCCGTACAGACAGGGATCAACGACGACCACCAGGACGAAGGACGGTCCTTCAGGGTGGCGCCGAGGATCGCGAAGGGGTCCACGGCTTGCAGCAACGCTGCCGTTCAAACCACCGATTTGGAGAAGCCGAGTGTGCCAGTGACGAGCAACGTGGACGTCGACAAGCAGTGGAAGCCTATCCCCGATCGAGAATCCAACGTTTACCGTCCTGATCCTCAAAGGTTCGTTCTGGACCACAATCAGAACTATCGTACAGTTTCGGACGACCCTTCTGTGTTGAATCCTCGCCAAACATTCGGTGAACAAGCCTACAGAGACACCGTGCATCAGGAATCTGGCCAAAGTAATCGGAATCAGCCTAACAATCCCGCTGAACCAGTGAAGAAGAATCCGAGATTCGACTTGGAGAGTTACCGGAAGGAAGACACCGAGGATCGCGCGTACTCCTTCGTCTCTCCAAACTTGTCAGACTACAATCAACCGGAAGAGGTACCGGAGAAGACAGCCGAATGGCCTGTGAACGACTCTCCGTTCGTAGACGATCAGAACATCCAGAACCAGGACATCAGTCCCGATGTCGGAGTGGTGACGAGATACACCTGCGCGATCGCTACCGTCGCCTCCTCCGTCGACAGTCCCGAGCCTCGCTCCGAGGAACTGTTGCTTGACTCTAGAGCTTCCTCATCACCTTCACCGTCCCAGTGGTCTTCCAGGTCGAGACCAGCCACCAGCGAGGCCGCCACTCCCGAGGACGAGATCCGCAGACATAATCTACTGCAGCAGAGCCTGGTCCGGCGGTTGCAGAACGAGATCACGTCCTTGAACAACGAACCCCTTCAGTATCCACCGAACCTCGGTCAGTCAGCCATCAGCGCTAGTCAGCCTAAGATTCAGTTGGAGAGCTACGAGAATCAGCTCGTTCAGAGCTACCAACGCAGCTACAACCAGTACATCGGTTCTAGTCAGCCAGGGAGCACATCTCCAGCTCAGCAGCAAAGCTTCGGTCAGTCTTCTAGCTCGAATCAATCCGGAACAATCGCTCCAGTCCATCAGCAAGCGTTAGGTCAACCTTCTAACTCGAGTCAATCCGGAAGCATATCTCCGGCCCACCAACAAGGTATAAACCAGTCTTCCAGCTTGAGTCAATCCGAAAGCATTTCTCCGGTCCATCAACAAGATATAAGCCAGTCTTCCAGCTCGAATCAATCCGGAAGCATCCCTCCGGTCCATCAACAAGCCTTCAACCAACCTCCCATCATCGGCCGACCTTCGATTCCTCAGACTCAGCCGCACAGCTTCAGCCAGCTAGCGAACTTCGACCAGCCGGCAGGTGCTCAGCCGTCCAAGTACGGCAAGTACCTGACCCCAGTTCCCCAGAAGAAACCGGAGCCCTCGAGGACCCATTCGCCGGTGACTTCGGTGACCTCGATATCGGCGAACCGAGTCGGTGCGCTCAGGGAAGCCTACGAGTTATCGCCGAGCAGCCAAACAAAGCCGATCCAGAAGGAACGCTCTCCGATCCCGAATGGAGCGACGATCGACTCCAGCGACGAATATCTGGTCTCCTGCGCGACCAAGCCTTCAAGGTCCATCGTTCTGTCCAAGTCAGAGTCGTGGCACCAATTGGCCCTATCGACCGGCTACCCGCGTGCTCCTCGAGTGAACGCGCCGGCAGCCTCCGTCTCGAAGCTCTCGCCACACCCTAAGCCACCAAAGCCGAGGTCACCGTCATCCCAGAAACTGCGATCGAAGCAGTTCGAGGCATCCTCGATGGCCGACAGCGTGAAGAAGATGGAGGACAAGATCAGACAGTACTTTGACAGTCCGGTGGAGTCAGTCGAGGTCAGGGAGCACCATTCGCGGAGCAGGCGATCGCCGAGAACTCTGCACAAGACCATGGTCGGGCTGTCCCGGAGCAGAACGATGCCGGGTATAGTGGACGAGAGGCTCAAGCTGGTGATCAAGAGCGATCAACAAGCGCCGCTGTTGAACGTGAACACGGCGGACGTCGACAAGGTGTTCGACGATCTGTTCGAAGAGGCGACCAGGTCCGACGGCCGTCATCAATGCTGACCGCGAGTCACCGTCGTCGTTTCGTCCTCGGCTTGGCCAGGATCAGTTTCCTTGGCTGGGATCGTTCCGTTGTTTGGTCCAGCCGGTTGCTCCTTGAAGAAGAAGAGGAAGAAGGAGAAAATGATTATGATGATGATGATGAAGAAGGAGGAACGTTTGGCCAGGACTGTAGCGGGTATCCTCTTCTTCTCGCCTGTTTCTAGTCGCTTAGTTCCTTTGTCGCGTTGTATACGTCCATCGCGAGAACCAAGTGCCATAGACGTGACTATTCCGAGAACGGAGAAGCTAGAATTAGGGGAGTGAAATTCTCTCGGAGAAGAGATCCGAGAGGCAAGAGGAATTCAGTGTTTAAGAGATGACGCGAAGCGGATCGGGAGAAGTTCGCCTCCAGAACCTCGCAGGAGCATCGGCAACGAGGATCAGCAATCTTTCGTCGTTAGTGATCGAAGGGGTCGCTGTACGATCGTCGAGAAAACAAGACTGAATGCATCGATTCGCGTTCTCGATCGAGTACGAAGGGGGGCGCGTGTGCTTCTTAATCTTTCTTGTCCTTTTTCTTTATCGTTATTATTGTTCTCTTCTATTTTTTATCTCTGTCTCTGTCTCTCTCTGTTCTTCTACTTCTTGTCTTTCTTTCTTTCTTTTCTCTTCTTTTTTTAATAAGCCTCGAGTCGCGCGCTGCGAACACGTTTTGCGGACGGACGTTGAGAGTCGTGCTAGAAGGTCGTGCCAAACCCCGAATAAAGCAGTGAGTCACAGCCCTTCATCTTTGTTGATCCTTTTTTGCCGCGCAGTAGCGTGTTAGCTTGCACCATCCGGACTCTGCACGAGTTTAACAAACGTAGCACCTTCACAGGCGCAAGTAGAGAACCTTATTAGAGGCGACACGCGACACTTACACAAACTCACGCACACACACGCCGCGGCTCTCCTCGTGGGGACGGAATATTTGTACAGGGTGTTCCGAAACCGGTGCTAGAGGTGGTTCAACTGAAAAAGTCTAGTTGCAACACGACTATATAGCTTCTTGCCGCAAAGATGGTGTTGCGCCGTTAACCCTTCGCTGTAACAATGAGAACTCCTCTGCAAAAAAAAAACAGAATTGTACTGTTCACTGAAACGAAATGACTAACGTGTATATTTAACGCTTTGACCGCCATGTGATCCTCCACAAAAATTGCATAAAATTTCATTTGTTCAAACTAAGATTGAAAAGTTAAGTTGTATGACATTAATTACATTTGAACATTCTTACGTTTTGCGAATTCTAATCAAATTAAGAACATATAATAGTTCAGCGTACAAATTAATTTTCAAATCCGAACAAATAATTCCGACACCCGCATATGGCAGTTGAAGTGTTGATAGATTTCCTTTGAAAAGCAGTTAATGCTACAACTTCGACAAGGGGTTAATATTTTTTTGTGGCTTGATCGAAAGTCTGTACGATCCACTAAATTCGGAGGGTCAAAGTTCAGGAGAAAAGAGCAAAGCGAATAGCGAAGAGATCGTTATCAGTTGACGGAACGCCCGGTGCACGAAACGGAAAACTGCTCCCTCCGGTTCTCGAAATTAATCATATTAACACCTTGGCGGCCAAGGCCATCGTGAACCGTCTAAGGATTCTTTTTTACTTAACAAGTCTCTGCCAAGCAACCGTAACAGTGCTGTCTTTTAATAACCGAATCCTCTCGACGGAGGGAGCGATTTTCCATTGTCCTCTTTCGGTTTCCCCGTCTCCATTGAAGAGGCCGCGGGCGATCGCAAATTATCGTTCGATCGACGAGAATATAATTCGTCCTCTATCGACGCAAAAATAGCGCCGGTCCCGGCGCACGTGCATTTATTTGGAGATTGTAAACATTCGGGACACGGGCCAGCCAAGTTTCGAACGCTTTATTCGCGGAACCCACTGCGTGTGGAATCTCTTTCTCACTCGCTCTCTCTTTCTCTCTCTTTCTCTCTCCTGACGAGTGTTTCGGTATTGCGATTGTAAATCCAGCGAGAGCCCGAGAAACTGCGCCGCCATTTTGGTGTACACGGCGGGTACCGGTGCGTCTCTGTGTGTGTGGGTGTGCGATTACACGCACGCGTACCCGCTGCACACGAGGCGGCGGAGGAGGATTGTTTAAACAATATACTTATACGAGCACACCAGCCTTTTTTTAACTCTTTCTACTCTTTCTTTGGGTTTTTTATTTTTCTTTTCTTCTTCTTCTTTTAGCTGAACGAAGTTCCGCGTGTTTTCGTTTTCCTTCTTTCTTTTTTTTCTTTGCTCGTGGAGCGATTTCGTGATCGCCTCGTTGCAGCTCACGAAACAGAATGAGAACGAAAGATGTGTCTCTCGGCTGGATCGAGTCGTAAATAACATCCTTCGCACCTTGTTTTCTACGAATTCCCGTTGATTCGTTTATCTTTCGCGGTGTCAAGGAAGTAATTCACGACTGGGCCGCTGTCAAACAAATCGAGAACAAATCATAATTGTAACACAAAGAAATTCGAATGATCAAAGAATCGCGACGAGGTTGAGAAACGAAAGATATACTTTGTTTTTGTCTTTTTTGCCAGATCCTTCTAATAATTCTCACATGCGAAGCGATTTATTGACAAACGTTGGTTTTCTTTCTTACGAAACATAGGCGTAGCGATGATTAACAATCTTTTCACTTTTTTCTTTTTGTTGGTCCGATGACAGATTGCGTGATCAATGATAAAACCCTAACGTTTGCGCTGACGATCCATGTTACGGTCGTTTGTTCGATTGAGCTCAAACGGTCCCCTTCGTTTTTCAGCCCGCAAGAAGCCGCTATCACCGTTTGCCAAGTTTCGTGAACTCGACAGACAAAATAGCGCCGCTTCGTCACCGAGGTAATTAAAAACAGTTTACGATCGTTGCTTATTTATATAATTGATTTCCTTACGTCTTCTCAATCACGCTTCAAGTATGTGCGAAGCGCTTATGTCTTCCATCTTATCTACCAAGAATACAAAATGAAATCTCCATTGTTTATGGGACGACTTCATAAGCGCGCAACATCCTCATTATGGGCAGTTGTAGTAGCCCGTTGTAATTCAATACAGAAACGACGCAGGATTTGCTATACGCGCAGTCGGTTGCAAATTCGCAGCGGCTAAGGGGGCTGGTTCTTTTAGGAGTTTAACGCGTGCCTTTTCTTTCTATATTTAGTCCCGTAAAGTCACCGGCAACAGAGTTTCGATTCAAGTTTACCGAGCCAGCGGTGAGGGACAACGCGGCCCAAATAAAAGAGAGGCTACTGGCGTGGTGCCGTTCCAAGACCAAAGAGTACGAGGTAAATCCGCGTTGTAAAACGGTTATTTACAGAAACGGCCGGTTAATTGCGTGTCACCAAGTAAAATTGATTCGCAGCTGCTACCCGTAGTTGCGACACCGTTCCTCAAAACGCGGGCCACGTGCTTCTCTATCCGATCCCTTCTCTTTTGCAGAACGTGCAGCTGGACAACTTCTCCACAAGCTGGAACAACGGATTGGCATTTTGCGCTTTGCTCCACCACTTCAGACCGGAAGCATTCGACTATAATTCCCTGCGGCCGGAGAACCGCAGAATCAACTTCGATTTGGCGTTTAGTAAAGCCGAGTATGCATCCTTGTTTCTTCCCTCAAGAAATGGCAATTCATCTACCGTTTATATTCGAAACGCTTAGATATTCCTGACACTTGCTCGATAGACTGCAGATATTCATGCAAATTGCGTTCCTAGCGAATCATTTTTGAAATTAAGATTAGATACTTGCTTAAAGAGTAGGTCATGAAAGAAGGAAAGAGAAGATCAAGAGTTTACTTACAGTTAGGCGACTCAAGGCTTAATTAACTGTATTATAAGAATCATATTGATTCTTTTTAATTCTGTCATGTTTGCCGTAATCAAATACTCCAAAGTCTGATGTTTCCAATGTCCCTTACAGCGAACTTGCCGGCATCGTACCGTTGCTTGATGTCGAGGACATGGTGATGATGCGAAAACCGGACTGGAAGTGTGTCTTCACCTACGTGCAGTCCATCTACCGCCGCTTCAAGGACGAGGATTAGAAGGCCTAACGTCTACGCTTTCCAACAGCGTTCCGCAGTGCAAACCCGACGTTCACCGACTCTCGCAAGACTATTCTATCATCCGTTGAATTGGTCATAAAAGATAAAGAAAAACGGTCACACATCCTTCAACGCGAGATGGGAAAGAAATCTGATCAAAGTACATACACACTCGAAGCGAAACCCTCCGTGTTAAGAACAATGAATACAGAAAGTTCGCTTATTGCGTATCCCGCATTCGGTAGAGTGTCCGGTAATACTTTACGTACGACTTCCGGGCAGCTTTTCGAACTTGATTACTTTTCGCAAAAACATGTTTTTATGATGATGGTGCAGTAGATAATTAATGGCTTTCTCCGACGCGCGGTGCTCCGCGACAAACGTGTCGACGAGAACACTGGTCGATTGCTGCCAAAACCGATATTAGCGTTGATATTTTTTCAATAAGGTGTTTTATGCCAAAGATTTGTGAAATAAATACGTGATACTAGCAGTCTCTTCGTTGACACCATTATTCCCTGAAATAAAGCTTTGACAATGTTCTCTTTTGGCTGAATATATGATAAAAAAAAAAAACTGTCACAGGTAGTTGATGAGAGAATTACAAACGTAAGACATGAATTTAATGAAGCGAGCGGAGGATATTGATACGAAAAGCAATTTTAGAAAATCCGTTTATTAATTGTAATTAAGACATATATATAAATGTATATGTAGAAATATAAGTAGTATTCTGAGGTAAATGTGTTTATGGTCATGGCCATAGTCTTACTTTAAACAAATAGGAAGTTCCAAATGAATATTTTCTCTGTTCAAGAATACGGATGAACTTGGATGACTAAATATAACTAGAATAATATATAGATGTTCCATCATTTTCCATTCAAAGAACATTTACTCAGACTTTTTATTATGCTGCTTGTCATATCAGAGACAACAGCATTGTATTTGTCTCCAATATGGAGACACTTATATTTCGAATCAGAAGGCACCTCATTTGGCACTTGTTATATAAACATTAAATTACAGAGCACTATCATCTAGAGAATTATTTATACCGTTTCCGTCTTCTCCAAGCATATCCTGGAACAAATATTACAGTTAGAATCATTTAAATATTACAAGAAAAAAAAGATAGCTATTAATATGCACCTGTAAAACTTCGATAAGTGCTCTGGACTCGTCCAACATTTCTTTATATAATCGATTCTCTTCTTCCAATTTCTCCACACGCTCAGATAACACCTTGTTTTCTTCTAAAGTATCTTCAAGAACTATACGCCGTCTTTCTGCTAACACTTCCCAATAGTTTTCGCTTGGACCAGCTGATATGAATACACAAATAACATATTTGAGATAAATAATAATAAGATGTCTACATCTGATCACTTATTGGAGTACAATATCCATAATAGTACCTTCAGATGTCAAATCTTCTACTTCTATCTTAATCTTATCTCCTCTTGCAGTTTGGATAGCTTTATCTTTGAATGAAACTTTTTTACGTTTTGTAGTATCATGTTTAGGTTTTTCTGTTATTTCACTGAAACACAAAGGCTCTTTTGCATAATATAATCAAAAAATATTACAAGCATAGTAATAACATCAAAATCAATTTTACTTACGGTTTGAGCGCCTCTTTTGTGGACAAAGCAGATCTAAGCATCCTCCCACCACCAACTAAATTTTCTTTGTCGGTGGCTGTTGGTTGCAAAATGTGTAAAGATGGTCTGACCTTATCCTGTTCCATTAAAAAAGAAGACTATATGACGCAATTTGAAGCAATCACATGCAATTACTTGTATAGCATAAATACATGGAAGGATAAATGAATTAATTGAAATAATATTAAAATTACGTTATATGAAATTAAGTGGATTCATATTAAAGGAAAAATCCGTTTAATAATTTTCTGTTTAAAATTAAAGTCTCGAAAATCCACTATTACACTCTGTGATGATCCTCAATTAAAAGGAAAAATGTGAAAATCCGTTTTTATGTCAGAATAATGTACGTTATGAAAGCTAATAAAAAATGATTTAGAATATGAATATATTGATATAATTAGGCTTTGAATAATGATTTAGTGTCTGTGTAGGAATAAGATTATGTGAAACATAATAAAGAAAAGTGTGTTTTACTAACCTCAGAGGCAACAGTTTTGGCGCCAGAAACTTTCGTACCACCTCCAGGTTTCATGGTAGTGGCCGTTAGAGACGCAAGTCAATTGAATCTTAGACAGAAAATCTGGTAATATTAAATGGTTGTTGAAGCAAGTAACTGACAGGTTACTCCATCCACTTTGAAATAACAATGCTTGTAAAACAAATGTACAAATATATATTACCGATTTACGGTCCTAGGAGAACCGAACAAGGTTCCATCTGTATGTACCTGCACAACGAATTGCTATGTACCCAGAATGCAGCATTTCCCGCAATTAAATCATTGCCATCTGCTGGACTCTTATAGTAATACATCATAATAGGAAAACACTAAACTTCATAGGAAGTTTTCATAAGTCCCTGACATATACATCTGGTTGCATGGTTAAATATGAATCATTTACATATAAATTTTAACGAAATTTTAACAGTACGCAGGATAATTTGAATTCTTTACCAAGTAAATTTAACGGCTAAAGAATATTCTGAGGTTATATTCATGTTCAGTTATTTATTAGTCATTCATGTTAGACTATAGTTTATTTATTGTTGAAAATAAAAATAAAATTCAAAATGAAAATTTAGGCGCCAGGTTGGTAAAGATAGGTTAGGAAATCATCTGTTGATGTTTACGGACGCCTGCAGGCGCCGGAGCACACCGGAAATGTTCGCTGGTGGTCGCTACATAACAAAATGGTAATGCTATGTAAAATTCGTTTTAAGTGTATACATATCATAGTTACATTTTAATATACACGATATATTTTTCATACAGTTATGAATATATTTTTGCTCTATAAATTATATGTATTATCTATTATTATGTCAAATGTGCGGAAAAAATTTGCAATATTTTTGTTTACGGTTGAAAGATTCGATCACTGGCACCTAGCCGAAGAGGAAAGCGTCCATTGCTCTCTGATATATCTAATAATGTATCATCTCCAATTGTGCCACAAGTATATCAGGCAAAGAAAAAGATTTGCCGCAATGTGAAAGATGTACAAATACCAGAATACAAAGCCACTGCGCTTTCAGCAGATGATGTACAAGCAACACAAGAAGTAATCTCTGAACATGTAAGTAATTTAATACAATAAGGAGTATGAATATTATAAATTAATTAAAAGTAGTTGTATTTTATATAGAAGTTAATTTGAATTTATAGGAAGAAAAAGTGAAGAAACTCCTTAGTAAACCTTTCAAAATTCCAATTCCTGGTTATCAATTATCAGGTCGTTCTTTAGGAATACGTTTATCCGGTCCACGTAGACCACTATATGATCCTGAAGAAGCCAATGCACTTATAGTTTATTCACCACCAGAGATATCGGAGCATGATAGACTGAAATTAGATTTGTGAGCATAAAATAAATAAATCAGAATTGTTTCAAAATTAATCTAATTGATTTCAATTTTATTGTAATTACTATACTTTTATGTTACAGAAGTAAACAACTTATACACGTTGTGGTAGATCCTGTATTATGTAATATTTTAAGGCCTCATCAACGTGAAGGTGTGAAATTTATGTACGAATGTGTAACTGGAAAACGAATAGATAATGCTTATGGTTGTATTATGGCTGATGAAATGGGTCTTGGAAAAACTTTGCAGTGCATAACTCTTCTGTGGACTCTATTGAAACAGGGTAGAACATTTGTTAATCTGATTTAATTTATTTTATCGTAAAAATTTTATTTAAAAATTTCATAACATTTTATAGGTCCTGAAGGTAAACCACTTATAGAGAAAGCTATAATTGTTGCTCCTAGTTCATTGGTCAAAAATTGGTATAACGAAATTTTTAAATGGTTAAAAAACAGAGTACAACCATTAGCCATTGATGGTGGAAATAAAGCAGACATTGACACAAAACTTATAGGTTTTATGAAAACTTATGGGCGTAGATGCGCTAATCCCATTTTAATAATTAGCTATGAAACTTTTCGTTTACATGCGCATGTCCTTCATCAAGACGAAGTGGGCCTGGTATTATGTGATGAAGGACATCGTTTAAAAAATTCAGAAAATCAGACGTATCAAGCACTTATGAGTTTGAAAGCTAAAAGAAGAGTATTGCTTAGTGGAACGCCTATACAAAATGATCTATTAGAATATTTTTCTCTAGTACACTTCGTTAATCAGGGATTGTTAGGAACTGCACAGGTACATTAACTTAATGTAGCAAGTAATACGTAGAAAGGTTTTTTCTGTGAATAAATGAATCAGTGAAAAAATTATAAGTATTTTCTCAAGAGCATTATTAGTCTATTATTTCTCATTAGGAATTTCGTAAAAAGTTTGAAATACCAATTTTACGTGGTCAAGATGCAGCTGCGACAGATGCAGAACGTGCACTTGCTCAAGAACGATTAGCAGAATTAGTAACCCTCGTTAATAAGTGCCTCATTAGACGTACCAGTGCCTTACTGTCTAAATACTTGCCTTTAAAACATGAACTAGTGGTTTGTATAAAGTTGGGTAAACTGCAGGCTGATCTTTACAAAAATTTTATACATAGCGACAGTATTAAAAAATCAATAGAAGGTTTGTGAACTTCTTTTTATACAAAAACTCACTTTTTCTTTTCAATTGATGAACATTTATTTCATTTTACAGAAGATTCTGATGGTTCTAAAAAAGGAAAAAGTCTTTCTGCTTTGTCAGCAATCACACTTTTGAAAAAACTGTGCAATCATCCTGATTTAGTTTATGAAAAGATATTACAACGGTCGGATGGATTTGAAAACGCTTTAAACTTAATGCCACCGAATTATAATACTAAGTGCGTATTATTAAGAGTTACAAGTAACGTCCGTTTTATCTAGAATAGATTATGACTTTATGAAATATTGTCATTGAAATTTATAAATTTTGCTTCCAGAGAAGTTTTACCAGAATTGTCAGGAAAGTTGATGGTATTAGACTGTCTCTTAGCATCGATTAAAACGACAACCAATGATAAAATTGTACTAGTATCGAATTATACACAAACTCTTGACCTTTTTGAAAAATTATGTCACAAACGTTGCTACAATTACGTTAGACTCGATGGTACAATGACTATTAAAAAAAGATCGAAGGTAGTGGATAAGTTCAATGATCCAGACAGTAGCGACTTCATCTTTATGCTTAGTTCGAAAGCTGGCGGTTGTGGATTGAATCTCATTGGAGCGAATCGTCTTGTTATGTTCGATCCAGATTGGAATCCTGCAAATGATGATCAAGCTATGGCTAGAGTGTGGAGAGATGGTCAGAAGAAACCATGCTTTGTATATCGTTTCCTTTGCGTATGTAACACGGTATTATTTCAAGTAATTGCAAATGTACATAACATTTCACTCAATCCTGATATAAATACGTTATAGACTGGTACGATTGAAGAAAAGATTTTCCAAAGACAAGCACATAAAAAGGCTTTGAGTTCGACGGTAGTTGACCAAGAGGAAGACGTTGCAAGGCATTTCACGTTGAATGATTTGCGAGATTTATTTAAACTGGAAGAAAATACAATATCTGATACTCATTCGAAGTAGGTGAAAGTAGTATAGTGTAATCAATCATTACAAATTAATAATTAACATTTCTAACATTGAGTTAAATCTATATGCGGATAGTAAAATGTAATCTATCTGTATTCCAGATTTAAATGCAAGAGGTGCATTAATGGTATAGAAGTTAAAGGACCTCCTGAGAATTCTGATTGCAATTCAGATTTATCGGACTGGAGACATGCCCACAATCCACGAAATATACCAGATGTGCCACTACGTCAATGTTGGTCAAGCGGAATTTCCTTTGTTTTCCATCATCGTTCACCCGAACAAGTTAAATGAAATGATAATTTTTTCAATGTTCTCTTTTTTCATATTTTTATACATTTCTTCTTGTTGCGTTAGCTAACGTAAAATGAGAGAACCTTATAAATATCTGTAAATGTTTATATTCATATTTTGTACAAATATAGAATTGTAAGTTTTTGTAAGTATTATGTAGACCGAAAAAATATTAAAATAGCAGAACATCTGTATAAATCTGAGATCCATGAAATAAATACATAGTCATGGAAATTTAGTATAAATACTGTTTTAATTATTTCATTAATGTGAATAATAATTTCATTTCATTGATTAAATTTATTCAAAGTGTAGATTGTAATTTTTTGTAATACGTTTTGTCATAGAAATATTGACAAATATTAAAGAGAGTAAATTTTAAAAGAATAATGTATATTAAGTAGTTAATTTCAATTGAAATTTTCAAATAAATGTTTTATGTGCAGTTCAAATGATTATCGTTTTGAAATTCGCGTCATTTCTATCAATCTTTGTACAGCACCAATTGATGCAGTGACAAAACGCTCAAACTATTAGTCAAAATTGATTGTCGATAATTTGACTAACAGTTCGAGCGTTTGTCACTACCTCTGGCGCTGTACGGACCTCGAACTAAGCTTTACTTTTTCTCCAAGAGAGGCGTCGCAATCACTGGCTGGTATGACTACATGACGGCATCATGAGTCATGATGCCACTGGCTTACGACATGACACGACTCCAAATTGATTAAAACTCGTATGGCGGGAAATCGCTTGTCAATGCGTTCTATGATTAAATATCTCTACATAACTGTGCCATGAATAATGTATAATTTTTTTTTATAACAGTGCGTGACCGTGCTCATTACATATTAATTTCTAATTCGTCTATAAATATATAATTGTCAATATTTTTGTATTACTTGTCAAATTAGGTTATCTCATGCAAACTGTGTTCATGATGATAAATATTAGTTTTTATAAATACATAATCGACCTTTAACTGAATTCAGCTAATTAAATTTAATTCACGATGGATATTTTGCCTACGCAAATGATTGAAGATGATTTCATGCCGACACAGAATCTATCTCATTTATTACCGTATGAAGCAACGCGAGAGAAAATACAGGTAATACTTAACAGTTCAGGTACAATTGTTAACATTAGGATATTATATTCAATGGTTTTGACAAATTAATTGTTTATTGTTTACACGACTATTAAAAACATTGATTTACCATAATATTGTTTGCTTATATTTAATTTATATATGTAAAATATTTTAGATTGGAACATTGAGAATCGGTTCCATAACTTATCCAATCAATCAAGGAGTTACCAACATTGGTAGACATCCAAGGTGCAACATCACATTAATTGATCAAGTAAGTTTTTTAATTTTCTGTTCTCCATTTAGGTTTATTATAACAAATAAGGAACAGGATATGAAATAATATATCATTTTTGTTATAATATATTTAAATGTATCAAATTTTGTTTACATTTGTAGGATTTAGAAGAATTGGATTTAAAATGGTTCACATAAATTTTATGTATAACAAATGTAATTCTCCATTGTCTTTAAAAGACAAAAAGCTTTCATAATTCTTCTTTTAAAGTTTGTCCACTCTGAGTATTGCTTAATTTGTTCTCATTAAAATTAATAGAACTCCAAAAGTTTTTCTGTCCTAAATTATCATTACTATCCATGGTAATTTTATCTGGTCCAGCAATGTGCAAATATTCAAGAGATTTTTCATTAGGGTTTAATTTGGGCCACTTTACTCCACCCATGTTTGGAACTCTGCGTGATAAAAATTACATATATGTACAGTGATTTCTATAATTGAGTATGATGCAGTTTATTACATTAACTTACTTGTTATTAGCAAAAGATACCCATAAATTGATCATAAGCTCTTGCATCTTTAGGTCACTTGGTGTTGTAGTGGAATCTAAGTACTGAGTATCAACAACAACATATGCATCATCTGCGTGACTAACACCTGCACATAGAATGTTCGATATATTTAACTTCTCTATTTTTTCAATATTGTTATCTTAATACAAATAGCATACCATAATTGTTATGAGTTCCACTCATGTAATCACTCAAACTACTTGCACCTCTGTAAGAATAATAATAATACCACACGGGTTGTTTATTAACTTTAGCCTGCATTCTAGCTGCTTTCTCACTGTCAACAACGAAGAATCTGTCTCCGGCCATTTGTACTAAGAGTTTTGTTGTTGTTTCATCTATTTTCTTTGTTCCAAGGTAGTGCTGTTTGATAAGCCTGGCAACTTCAATGTGTTTCTCCTTAGGCAAAGTGTAATTATAATCCAGAAAATGAGGAGCAAGGAGGTCCCAGTTTTCATCCAATGTTTTCAACGCTTCCGGTATATCAATGAATTCTATAAACTCAATTAGGTGAGAAGACGTGCAGGCCACTAATTATACGAATTACTTGCTACTTATTTTTACCTGCAACCGGGTATAGTCCCTCTTCACTAGTTACGCTAGTGATCCAAGGAACATCTTGCACATCTCCGCTATTTACTATTTCAATCGGAGAGCGATCGATAAATGGTTCATCTCCAACTTTTTCAGTAACTGGTCCAAATGGTGTGAACGGATTGTAATAAAATTTCTAAAGTCAAACAAATATGATTAAAATCATTATCAACGAACGCCAGTAAAAAATTCAGAGTACTTACCATGAACTCCTGAGCCGATTCAACCAGAGCCCTGGAAGGACGGAATCTCAAGCAACGTATCATTTCCCTCTTGTTAGCTGTAGGGCATCCCATGAGAGTAGCAACTTTCTTAGCTTTCTCCAAGGCATTTTCAGTTTGCGTCCAACAGCTGAAAGCTGTACCACTAACCGAGATACCAGCTGCAATATTGTTATATTCACATATAATACTCTTTGTTAAGAGTCTTTTGAGCCTCAAACAAATTTTACATACATTTAACGATTAACTTACCTTGGAAGAGACCAGCACTCATTGGAGATAAATAATGATAATGGACACTAGCACCTCCAGCACTTAAACCAACTATGGTCAGCTTGTTTGGATCACCATTAAACCATTCAATGTTCTCAGAAACCCATCTTAGAGCCATGCTCTGATCTTTTAGCCCCATATTACCAGGAACTGTATCATCCTCTGTACTGAGGAAACCTACAAGAAAAAATTTGATATTGATCTTTAATGTGATTTTGAATTAATATTATGAAATATATTGTGAGTAGTATACTTCAGTACCTAGTATTCCTAGGCGGTAATTAAAGGTAACTAATATTACATCTTGGTCCATGAGAAACTTGGCACCCATGTCCATACCACTACCGTACATAAAGGCTCCTCCATGAATCCAAAAGAGGACTGGCATTGGCTTTGTGGTTACTTTATCGTGCACTGGTACATATATGTTTAGATACAGACAGTCTTCAGCACCTAATACCTTGTCATATGACATTTTTTTGCCAGGTGGCATAGTGTATTGCAAGCATGGGGAACTGAATTTAGTTGCCGAAATCTCGCCTACCCATGGGGGCATTCGATGTGGGGGCTAAAAAGAACATTATTGGATAATCAATAAGTTTTCCCTATAAATTTTTATTGAAAAATCCTAGTTAAAAAAATATGCAGGTCTGGAAAGTATTCTTCTTTTAAATATTATGGAGAGTGATTAAACAAATTTAACAATTCTTGAAGAGATAGATTAGAACGATTTTCTAACAAAAGTGTCGTTCTAGAAAATTAATATCTTCTATTTTTTTAAATTTTTTATTAATGTTTTCGAGCTGTATTAAAAAGATTCTTCTAGAGACTCTCACGTTCTCCATATTCGATTCTGTTGCATAACAACACAATGATAATTCAATGTGGTAACCATTAGTCGATGGATAATTTGTAAACAACGTAGACACGTTATAACTTGTTATAACTTGTTCTGCTCGGATCTGGATGTCCCGAAATAAAATCTCAATCAATGGCAATCAATGTTGCTGTCATCATAGCGAATATAAAATAATTTATATTAAGTTTGCAATCAATATAAAATATAATTTATTAAAATGAACTTTGTCGATTTCCTTACAACTGATCCATCTATTTATACATAACATATCATATAATAAAATAAAATAAGAAAATAGAATAAAATACAATATATATATATATATATATATATAAATTAAATTGAAACTATAATGCAATCTATTATTAAAAAAGTTAAAGGATACAATAAACAGTTCAACTAGGTGGACAAATTATTAATTTATTTAAATGACTTCAAGATTAACGAGAGACGTTGGAAATTGAATATTTGCTTACTTTGAATCGAAGTTTTCCAGTCGGTGGTAAAGCGTAAGGGATTCCCTCGTAAGCTTCATACTGTCTTCCGTTGGCAGACAACTTATGATATCCTTTGATACCACCCAATGGTGTTTTCACTTTCGGTGCGGTTTCCAAGGTCGATCCGAAGGTGAAACATCCGAGGAGGACCACGAGAAGCAACAGTCTCGTCATCTTGGAGAGAGTGAAGTCGTCTCAGAGCGGCCTGTTTTATTTATTGGGTACTCTATCTTCACGTGCCGCTAATATTGGCTTAGATAAGCGCGACAGCGATGAGCGCTTGGAACCACTGTCTCAACTAGAAAATCAGTGAATCGCTCTCCCTCCACCCCTGTTTTCAGCAGTAATCATCATTATAACATCGCGAATCTACTCCGGATTTCCGCAGCTTTCTGCATCCTTAGGCTGCGTGTTCACGTAATGTTCGGTTGTTGCAAATGATTCTGATGATTGTCTTGATCACAGATCACTTTCCTCCGAAAATTTTCTGCTCGGATTAATAATTTTCTTCTTACACCCCATTAATATGATTTTTACCCACTAAACTATGTTTAAAAGGAGCTACAAGAAATTATTAGTTCAACTAATATTTTTAACTTATTGGATGACCAATGAAATTGCTTCCAGTATTCAAAGATTCAATTAGAAGTCAATTGTTAATCTGATTGTACTAGATATCAGGCATTTACAAATAATGGCAATTTATCAATTTCTGTGCATTTTCTGAGTATTTAGAGTGAGGGTTTACAATATCACATAACATAAAGTGTCAGTAATAGGTCACTGTCAGATATGCACTGTTGTCATTCTGTTACTTAAAACTGAGAGATAAGGTGTTTATATAACTGGGTACACTTACGATCATTTATCATTTTATTTATCAATTTTTTTCAAGACATTTTTTATGGTATTCCTTCTAAATACGCTAGTTTCTCCATAGGCTTTGACGAAATATGTGAAAATTGAAATTAGTTGTCAGAAACTTGGCATTCAGATATCAATTTTTCCAGTCCGAGTCCGAATGGACCCTGAGTCCATCGTTCGAATGTTAAATTCGAGTACAATTGCAATCTCAAATGCGAATGTGTACTTGAGATTGCACCCCCTAAGTGCACTGATGCTGAACATATACAGAATGTGCAGTCCGATTAATAAAAAAACAATCAAATTCAGAATTCTGATTTCCGCTGAATCAATATTTATTCACTTCTAAAAATAACTCGTTCTGTTTCAACAAAGATTGTTGATGTTGACTCCGTGGCCTAAGATTAATTTTTGAAATGGTGATACACCCGCTCTCGGATACAGCGAGATTTACGCGTTTTAGATCGAGCGAGATAAATTTTTTTCCAACAATTTACTCGATTATCGAACTATCCAAAAAGTTAAAAAAATATCCAAAAAGTAACTGCATCCCATATGTATAAAAATATGTAGTTGCATAAGAACGTTGTGTTGATCATTGTACTAAAATTTTCCACAAACATCAATATTGATTCAGAACATACATATACGAAGATAGAAAATTACATGCGTGAACAAGTCACGAATCTCATACAAAATTATCTGATTGACGTAAATCCGACTGACCAGTTAGCCAGGACGGTTAATCGTCACTTGTTCGATAATTTCGAAGTTAATAATTATACTAAAAAAAGCTCAGAATGAATTGAAAATTTAAAAAAATTTTTTGTTAAAAAGAACTGAATTTTGTAATAATAAATTTCTTTTGCAGATGGTATCCAAGAAGCACGCAGAAATCGAATCTAACAATGGTGAAACATGGATTTGCGACTTAAATTCATCGAACAAAACGAAGCTCAACAGTGTAATAAAATATTGTTTATGGCTACAGATAGATTACAAACTAATTAAATATCTTAATAAAAATTCTATATTAATATAGAAAGTAGAACATGATAAAAACTTAATTATACATTGATCCAATTATGTACTATATAAATAACTTGATAAAAATAATTGTTTATATAAATTTGTTGAAATATTAAATATATACTACAGATTTTTTTTTACTTTACTTTGCAGTCTGTTTTAAGACCTGGTCGATACTATGAACTAAAAAGTGGAAGTATTGTTGAATTCGGCACGATACGGGCTGTATATTCAGAACTTGGTTCAATGGATGAATCCCTGATCCCAGAAATTCGTGCACCAAATTGTCTGGGGATTGCAAATACAGTTATTCCGGATACACCTGATACGTCCATAGTAATTATTCAAAAGCGTTTAAGTACAGAAATACGAAATTGTCAAGCAATTTTTTAATTCTGTTAAATGATTTTATATAGAATGATTCGTCTATATCGGAGCGCGACACCTCTATGATCCCAGGGACCCAAGCGGAAAAAGGAGACTCTATATTCCGACGACCAGCCGCACCTCCGAGAAGCTCTGCCAGCAGTCGTAAGACCTATCCTCCGGATTCTTCCATTGAGAACAGTATGAACGAGTCTGGAGGCTCTCCAGCTCTACCGGAAAAGAAGAACTTAAATGAACAGACGGTCAGTATCCATGATACGAAAACGCAGAAATCACTTGAATCTCAGAATGATTCGTGTATCGGTATCCGCGATGTTGAAATCCAAAATATCTGCTTAAGCAGCTGTAATTCTAAACACTCTGATAATCAGATCGACATACACGACATGGAGATGCAACAGGACGATATAGACAACCAATGCAATGTAACAGTCATTCGTGATATAGAAACACAACATGATGTGGATATTCATAATTTGAAGACGCCAAGAAAGACTGATGTACAGAACACTTCTATCGAAGGCGATGAAAGTATGAATTTTGTTAAAGCGGAACAAATAAAGAAAGCAGAATTGAAGGTAGATGTATCCAGTATGAAGGCATGGAAGGGTGAAACGAATTCAATTAATCAGTCCGAGAAAGCTATAGTCGAAAATGAAAATTCCACACATTCTGAGCAATTTGAGATTAGCCGGAGAGGTTCGCAGGAGTGTTTAGAGTTATCGGTAACGACCAACTTCGACGAGGAATGCTCGGAACTCGATGGAAGCCGCAATCTTCTAGAATCGCCGAATTTGTTAAAGGAATTCATTGACGATGATCCAGGGAACAAGTCTAAACCGAAATCGATCAGCCTTTCAAACTCTCCTGTGAATAAGGATGAGATGAGTAAGAAAAGTAGCTACAAAGAGAATATATCCGATGCAGCAACACAAATTAATGTTAACACTGAGAATAATATTGAAAGAGTGACGCAACGAGTTGATTATGCATTTAAAGCTTCTATGATGGAAGATGATTCTGATGATACTGATCAAGAGTGCGTATTTCAGACGTACTTGCGAGTCAGTAGTCAGGATAGCAGTCAGGATAAAAGTCAAACAAAGAGGCAGTTTGATAGCGGAGACTCCGATATTGATGACAAAGGATGTCCCACTGCGATGACTGCAGAGGAAAAAGAAGCTACATCTATGTCCCTTGAAGACCGACACAATGAGAGTAGGGAAAACAAGAATGACGCTGTGTCGAGCGGGCATTCTAATAATTCGTTTGAAATACCCATGCAACAGATGAACCTTAAAGACAAAGATTTTTCAAAAAATGTCAGTAAAGATAGCGTCGACTTTAATACATCAACGCAATTGATCGAAACGGACAAACCTGAAAACATAACGGAGGAAAGAAATGTAGATATTGATACACCAACACAATTGATTGAAGTAAATAAACCTGTAAGTAATATGGTGCACAAAGGCATAGAGAATGCAAACGATTTAATGTCAACGCAAATTATACCAAACATGGAAGCTTCCATAAACGCTAATCTAGTAAAATATAAGGTTACGCATAGCAAAGAGAAGGAGGAAGGTGATGTGCAATATAAGACACCAAAGGAAATTAGTGCAGAAAATATTTCTACCTATAACGAATCATCGTTCAATAATTCTAACCAATTAAATTCTCCTTTAGAAGAGGATGAATTTGAAGACATTAAAAGTAAAATGGCGCCGACACAGTTGCCGACTGATATTAAGAAAAAGAAGAGGACTGTGTCACCTCAAGACAAAAGAATGTCCAAAAAAGTGAATTTGGATGATACTACAGAGAGAAGTCTGAATAAGATGTTTATTGATGTTAATGAAGACATCGAAAGTCAGCCACAAATACCAACTCAAGTGCTTACGAATATGCTACAATTGTCACAGAGTGAGGAAAAGTCCATTAACCTTAATATTGATAAAGAATTTCGAAGGAGTAATAGAAGAAGTATGTCTACAAGTAAGACGAAAAAAAAAAACAAATCTCCAGTAGCTAAACTAGAGGTATCACCATTGATAACAAATAGAAAGTCACGTAGATCTAACTTGAGAAAAGCTACAAATCAGGGTGACTCCCATCAAGTCTATTTCTCGAATCTTACCTCGACGAAGCAACGCAATATTCTTGTAGATTCTCAAGATAATGATAGACTTAACGGAGATGCAGTTGGTACTAAGAACGAAGTTGAAACAAAGTCAGTAAATAAAATTGTAAACGATGAGAATATTGCTCCTGCAGCTTTATTAAAGTCTGTGTCCGAAAATTCGCCATCGACAAGGCTTTCAAGAACAAATAAAGTCGAGGAGTTGGACAAGATTGAGCTCGTTGCAGACACAACAGAATCGCCAAAGAGTAACAAGAACGCTGTAGGAGATCCAGGAAAAGGTGAACGAATATGTAACACATCAGTTGATGTTGGACCATCTGAGGATTTTGTTACTACGCTGGAGTCTAATGAAGAGGACATTATGTCGGGCTTACCCGAAGTTCGAATTTTAGGAACGCTATTGAACCCAGCAAGTCCGACTTCATCGACGTCGACAGAATTTATGTTGTGTACTAGAAGCATAAAACCAAAGTCTGGTGGGAAGACCTCAAAGAAGTCAACGCGAAAATCAGTTGCACGTGTGAACACAAAAAACAGCGCACCTAAAACTAGGAAACCAAGGTCTACAGCAATCTCAGGCAGTTTTGACAATTTTGATATGAATAGACTGCCGATGACGATACAAGAGAGCAATGAGAATGAAATAAACAAGATTAGGCCAACGAAGAGGATGTCTTCACGTAAATTGCTACAATCAGAACCAAATCCTCCACAAGAAGAAGTAAGACGCAGTCTTTTTATTCAGGGCAACGGAAGGATTTCCGCCATCAGCATGAAGGATATTAATACTTCGTCTGTTTTTCAGGTCAGCAAAGAGGTTCTGATTGCGAAGGAGACTGAACCTGCGAAAAAAACTGGTACGAGGGCAAAGCGTACTGTTAAGGAGTCACTCAGTTCGACTGATGTAACTGAAAGTACCGTCGTGAAAAAGTTTAAGGAGGTTGTCAATAAGAAAACATCTGTGGCTTTCAAAGGCAGAAAAAGTAACGCTAGAAGCATTCCAGCTACCAGAAGCAGTTCCGCAAATATTTTGGACTATGTAATGAGAAAAGATTCGCCAGTGTTCAACTCGGATAGTTCGCAACATTCGCTTACTAGCAGTCAAGAAAGTGTCGGGGCTAAACAGTTGAGAATAATGATTACGAGATTGTCTTCCGGTACTCCGACACTACCACAGTCTCGTAATACAGCTGTAGAGCTAACGACCGAGAATGGCCAAGCAACTATCAATAATGCTACAAGTACTTTATCTGATATACAGAGTGATAAAAGTACAACAGCAGCGGCCGAAAGAAATAATAGTAGAAGGGCAACGGGCAAATATAATGTGGATGATGTCAGCGCGCAAGGAGGAGAAGAATCGCAGGAAGTCGAGATGATTATGAACTCCTGTATCAAGGAACAAGATATTAATGTAAATGTAAAGAACCAGGAAGAGACGAATGAAAATGCAAAAAGTGTTAGAACAAGAAGTACTCGGAAACGTGGGCACACAAGTACTAATACCAGTGAAGAAATTATAGAGAACACTTCCTCGGAGGTATATGAGTTAGATAACCCCAGCTTCGAGGTGCCTACAAAGGCCAAGCGCGCTAGAACTTCCAGAAATACTACAAATGTTGATAAAGTTGCAGCGAATGACACAACTACAAGAGAAAGAAGGAACATTGCAACTAATAATACTGTAAGTAAAGAAACTACTAAAAAAGGAAAAAAGAAAGGAAGCGCGCAAAAGGTGGTTACTGAAGAGAAGAATGAAGTCAGTATACTAGAAGAAACAACGTCTTCAGATATTAATTCTANTATTAATGTAAATGTAAAGAACCAGGAAGAGACGAATGAAAATGCAAAAAGTGTTAGAACAAGAAGTACTCGGAAACGTGGGCACACAAGTACTAATACCAGTGAAGAAATTATAGAGAACACTTCCTCGGAGGTATATGAGTTAGATAACCCCAGCTTCGAGGTGCCTACAAAGGCCAAGCGCGCTAGAACTTCCAGAAATACTACAAATGTTGATAAAGTTGCAGCGAATGACACAACTACAAGAGAAAGAAGGAACATTGCAACTAATAATACTGTAAGTAAAGAAACTACTAAAAAAGGAAAAAAGAAAGGAAGCGCGCAAAAGGTGGTTACTGAAGAGAAGAATGAAGTCAGTATACTAGAAGAAACAACGTCTTCAGATATTAATTCTAGCATGGATATGTCAGCTATGTCAACACCAACTAGGTCAAAAAGAAATATGTCTACCTCATTTGCAACATCATCGCCGTATAAAATAAAACATAAAATTTTATTCACTGGCATATCCAATGATTACACTAAGCTGTTAACAAAACTGGGTATGTATTTCTTAATCATGAACAAAAGTAATGGTTTAACTATAATTGTATTTCTACTTGCTCATAGGGTCATCTCAAGTTGAAGACCCAACAAAATGTACTGTGCTAGTCACAGACAAAGTTCGAAGAACTGTTAAGTTTCTGTGTGCATTGGCACAAGCAGTGCCGATAGTTTCAGTAAATTGGTTGGTCGAGAGTGAAAGGGCGGGACACTTTGCGGAATTGGATAATTATATATTGAAAGATCCTGCTGCGGAAGCTAAGTTCGGATTTAAATTAAGAAGCAGCTTGGAGAAGGCGAAGAAACAAAAATTGCTGGATGGATATACTGTTGTTCTAACGCCTAACGTCGCCCCACCATTGCCGGAATTGAAAAGTATGTTAGAAAACAAAATTGATTTCTCTTAATTGACAAACCAGCAATCTAGTAATTAGTGTTTATTCTTCACAAATTTTACAAAATGTTTGTAACTTCAATATATTAAATTTACAGGTATAATTAATTCATGCGGTGGTAAACCATTGGTTCGACCTCCATCAAAATGGCCTGAGAAAGCAATTATAATTTCTGGTGAGGAAGATATTGCAAGTGCGAAAAAGTTCCTCGCGAAAGCTCCGAAAACGGTCACTATACAGTCGACAGAGTTCATACTAACTGGTATTTTACGACAAGAGATAGATTTCGTTAAGTACAAATTAACGTAATAATAATAATGTGTTATGAGAGTGAATATTATGTGAGAGGAAATTGTGCATAATTATTTTAAATACTTGATATAAGTGCGTCTATATGAATTATCCATTATTTTTGTTAATTTTAATCTCCATATTTCATAAACTATACGTAGTCCCCAACCATGAGAAGATGGCACAGATTTCGACAGTCGGATACAGAGGGTATCTGCCAGTCCCTACTCTTAGTATAAAATGTATAAAGTTGAATATTTTTGTACATTTACTATTTGAAAAAGTATTAAAAACTTTTCAGAAATGTTTTGTTCAAATATACGCCTTATTTTGATTCAAGAAAATTCTCAACCTGTAACTTTATATATAACTATGTAATTAACATTTCAACAAAATTAATAATTAACAAATGATTCGATAAGGTGTTGTATCGACAATACGACATTTATTTTTTTACTAAATTTATTTTCAATTGTATGTAGTTACATGTTTTAATCATCCATAATATTTTCAACTTTTCAGTAAACACAAAATAAGAAAGAAAAGTCTTACAAAGTTAACAAAAATTTATCTGAAGGATTTTCAGTAACAAATGCGTGTTTCTAACGTTTGCATTAGACGAAGTATTTTTGTACATAGCCTGATTTTCCAAAGAAAGAGACCATAGATAGATAGATAGACAGCATCGACGATCTGCCAGATCTCTTCTTCCAGAAATGACAAGCTACAGTTACAGAAATAACTATCTCCTAAATTGAGCAATTGTTAATGATACTACCCATATGAATGAAATACATTTTAAGAGCTCAATGGCTACAATGTTTACAATGTGCGTAAATCACACGTCGTGAAAACTCCTGATACAGGTGACCCTGTTGCAAGAGCAGTCTAACTTAAGAGATGATTGTGTTATATATATATATGTATATATCTATGATATATAATATGAATGTGACAAACAGCAATGATAGGATATAGCCTATGTATACTAAGTACTAATTATCTTATACTAAGTAAGAATCTACGTTCAGCGACTAAATGCCATAGCTGAGAACGAAAGAAAATTAAGATTTTTCTGTTTCATATAATATGTATATAGTGAAGGAGGAGTTGTCCCTCTATTCTTCCTGCATCATGGGAAATGCAGTGTAGATACGTGTATGAGATATCCAAGGAGTTCCAGTCTGTAGTAATGGACAAACTAATACTTTTTTAAAATGTAAGGAGGGTCAAACACCAGAGTCCTGAAACAAAAACAAATGATTTAAAAATATAAAATGAAAATAGAATAAAGCAATTGTTTCTTAGTTTTTACAAAATAATTGTCGTACACTTTCAAGTGTTTACCGCATATTAAAAAAGAAAAGCAAAAGGCAACAAGTGTTCACGTAAGAAATGAGTCACCTTTAAAATGGTTGCGCAGTAGTGAAACAAAAACAAAGGAACCGTAAGGAGAACGGGCTGCTATTGACTGCTATCGACGAAGTCACGATTAACCGAAACAATGCGAAAACATTCATTGAACTTAAACTCGATTTTCAATCGATACATCTACTTCTACAAGCGTCTGAATGTACATAAATGCCTGCGCGTATGCGGGGAAAACATCCAACGTAAATACGCATTAAATCCGGCCAAGGTTGTGAACTCTTCCGGCTATATTCGAATCGATAATGCAAAATCGCATAACAATATACATCGGAAGTTCGAAATTCTAACGGGATCGGACAGAAGACATTTGTTGCTTACAATTTATGCCTTGGTTTTCCCAGCATGTCGTTTATTATGCTCGGTGTTCATCAATTTCGTGACGATCTTTCTGGAATGGCCGCTCGGGTCGAAATGGTTTGTGTGTGTCAAAGCTTCGCGCTTACTCCGTTGTTTACCACTATGCCCGGTAAAGATATGCTTGTCGTAGTCGTAGATGAAATGCTCGTAATCGTCAACGAAATGGTAAGACATAGCTCTCGGCTCTTTAAAAAATATATGCTCAAAAATTACGGTTAGCACTATCGAAAAATTGCCTGCGAGATCGCACTTGTTCAATACTGTCGCGAAGCGGCGCTCCGCGGTCCCTTATATAGGCTGTCCGAGCTGTCGTCGCGCGTGCGTGCAGCGCACAATTGTCCATCGTTTCGAATGCGCGATGCAAACGTCGTTACAACCGTTAACTTTTCAATCTCCTTTGCAATATAAATCGACTTTAACTCGATCCGCTCGAAGTGATAAACGCAAGTTTAATAGTTTCTGCGAGCAGCGGTTCGAACAATTGAAATCTAATCGGGAACGCCGATGAATAGAATGTGTTGGAACGCGAAATTGACCTGTGCTGCAGGCAACTGGGGCCAACTAAAACACCAGCAATCACGGTTTGTAAACTATACTCTCTGTTTAGAAAAGCTCGAACGCGAAAATGTACCTCGCGACAAAATGATAGCGCATCATATACATATTATGTTTTTTAACCTTTGAGATTAGTAAGAACAACAAATTTGTTATAAAAAAAAACACAAAAATTATGCAAATTTCTGTATATAAACTAAAACTAGAAATATCTATAAAAAAATATTATTTCAACATTCTATAGTTTCATATTTTACTTGTATAACAATCAATAAGCGTTTAGATTTGTTCGTGATTAACAACATTAGACAGTGTTTTTGCTGCGGGGTGTACAACCTCTACATCTGAAGAATCAAACGTACAAATATAATCACGCAATCTAAGAGTTTTTCACTGCATCTGCGAAGTATTGTGCAATGCCGTATGACCGATGAAATGTTTGAATTCAAGACATTTTCTAAAAGCAGATATCCAAAAAATGCGATTCGAACTGCAGCATGCAGTCAGTGTCGATAATCGCCGGTTGCATGCGTGTGGGTATGCAGTCGTAATCACCCGATGTTAACCTTGTTGTATGCTTTATATTTTTGTTGAGAACAATGTGGAAATTACTCAAGCGTAGCTTATTGCGCAGCAACGGTTTGCAGCAGTATATTAAATTTTGAGTGCTGTTCGTTTGTTTGGATACAAACAAGACGGCCGATATATAACGCGCATGCGCAACGGTGACATTGGCTTCAACAAGTTCTGCCGTTATCGCGAGCAACCGTTTCGTTTTTAATCATTCCCGTAAAAACGCGTGGATAACCGCAACAGAATATCCACTCGATTGATAAATAAACGTTTATCGAGCATGTTTTCTGTAGGTATTGCGCCGCGAACGTAAACAATGAAGAGGGGGGCACTTGAGATCCAAACCAAATGATGAAATTTTGTGAACTGGAATCAATCTCCAATATCGACATGCTCTGATTACCGGAGTCGTCGCGCGGGATGCTAATTAGGCTTCCTACATGAAAACATACAGTGTGCCGGTTCATATATCGGCCAGCAGTCTGCGGAAATGTTTATTTATGGCCCGCGTTTTCGAGCGGTACGTGCACCGGGACACGTTACAATAGGGACAGGTGCGTTTACAATTTATCACGAAAATACTCTGGTTTGACCTTAATCGTTCAGCTGCGAGTGTCGTGACACCTTGCGCCGATGTGTTTTCGCGTTGGAGGAAGCGCAGCACGAATGAATATTCACGAGCTTGTAATCGACAGGGACTTCTGCACTCCCGTTTTCGCTTATCGAAGGCTATTATGACTCGCGTTGCAGATATCATTGACTCAGAACTACTTTGCCAATAGAACGCCATCCGTGGTAATCGTGCAGCATACAATCGACAGCGTTTAGGTTTCAATTTCTGCTGCGACTGCACGAATCGTGAACACCCTGGAAGGAAGTCGGGGTTCCTCGAAATTGATCGACAGTGAAATTAAAAGATCAAAGTGGTACACGCCCAACCGAAATTGTATGTATTTCATCAACCGATCTCATCTCGTTGTTTAATGAACATTTTAATGTCAAAGCGGACCGGTATTATGTGTACCGGCTACAAAGTTGATAAACAGGTTCAAGCGATGTTTCGCTGAACGCCATCTGTAATATTCATCTTGTATCTTTTCCTTGCGCACAGCTACGTGCGCAATACAGCACTATTTTTAAATCTATCTCCTTTTTAATAAATCGAACTGGAAAGTGTTATCCACTTTCTCGACGCTATTAATAGCGCGCGCGGTTTGAAAAATGCAAATCTCTCCTCGTAAATGGGATAAGATAAGTTTATCATAGATGTTTTCATCTGTTCGATAACCGTCTTTCTTGTATATATATAGCTTGGTATAGTTAAGTTATAACTGAATCACTAACATTTCATTGAATGTACATTTATGTTGATTGTTTTGTAGAAATTTGAAGAGTTTAAAGATTTGTTTGCTTTGTTGCAGATACGCTTCGATTAGAACTCTTGTCAGAACATTCGCTGAAATAAAAATGCAGTAAATTACACCGCTGCACATCAATCGATAGTAGATAGAATTACTCTTCACAATGTCTGAGGATCGTTTAACAAACTCGTAAATTGGACGCTAGAGAAATTCATCAACTACGCCACGACGGGACCACGTGCAAAAGTTTTATTACTGAGGAAGTCCAGGTTCTTATAATTTCGTACAAGATAAACTTACAACAAGGATAGTTCTCTAAAAAAAAGAAAAAACTTTTAAAATTCATTGATCAAAGACTCGATCAGTATTTCTTGATGAACATCCCCCGGTTACAAGTTGGGAATCTATACTGTTAAAATCGAAAGAAGGATGGATTTTTAAAATCTTCGTACAGTTTTAGTCGATCCCGTACACGTCCCCGCCTTTCCGGAAGTCTGCGTTCGCGTAAACGGTGTCATTATTTACAAAAATAACACACGCAACGCTCCCACGGACTCGGTATCTTGAGGTTTTGTGTCCGATTTTTTTCAGACCGTCAATCACTTGCTTTTGCACTCCGTATTCGTAGGAGATCTCTGGTGGATAGAGCTGATGATGTATCCTCGGTGCGTCCATGGCTTGTTTTACTGTTTGACCCATCCACATGATCTTGGCTATTATCTGAAATCACAGGCGGTGCATCATTAAAATTTAGCAATTAAGTTTACTTAGATCTCGGCTCGAGAGTCGTCGTTAACTTTGTTATTGTATTTTCTCGATAATAAAATACTATTTTTTGTTTTTCATAGGTCAGACATTGCATTCTCGTGCAAGGACTGTTATTCTTCTAAAATAAAAAATGCATGTTCTTTTAAAGTGGCAATGGAAAGGATTCTTTCTAGGTAGAATAGGGTATAGCAGATGTTACGAAAAGAAAAGGCTCAGATACGAAACTTGATCCACTAATCCAGCAGATTCTTTTTCTGAAAGAAAACCGACCCATTCCTTTTAGAATTCCGTATTCCCATATCCTCCAGGTCTTTTTTATTTCTGGTTGGCTGAAAATCTATAGCATTACAGAAAGATTACCAACCTGTGCAACCGTTGTAGTGATCTTAGTGCCTCCAGAAGCCCCAACAACCATTTTCACATCGCCATTCGAATCGACGAGAATCGACGGCACCATCGACGATAGGGGCCTCTTTTCTGGCTTGATATAATTGTTGGGACTTGGCGGAATACTGTAGTAGCTAATTGTAGAGGGTATGCCGAAATCATTCATCACATTGTTCATGATTATTCCAGTACTCTCGCTGACCACCCCGCTCCCAAAACTATGGAAGTCCACATGAATTCATATTTAGAAAGAACCAGCGAACTAGAATTAAGAAACCAGCAAAAGAACGTAATTAATTAGAAGAACGTAATAAATTAGAAGTGGAACACACTAGAAATTGATGGTGCTAGTGGCAGCTACAGCATCGCCGTTCGGTGCTATTACGGAAACATGCGCAGTTCCTTGATCCTTCGCGGTGCTCATTGTCAAGGATCCATAATGTCTTGGATCGTCCCACGTTCTATGATCATCTATCTTCATTTGCGTTAAATGCGCGTAGCTTCTCGACGTTAAATTCCTGGTCAGCTAAAATCAAATATGCTTATAAGTCCGTGAAGATAGAGGCTTATGATTATTCAGTACAATTCTCCCTCGCAAGGGAAGCTTGCCAGATGTTAAAATAGTTTTCAAGCAATAATCGCTAGAACGACTTCAACGTTAATTGCCAACGTTTCTGGCGAACTTCCCATGTCAGACCTTGAACCGTGAGTGCACTGTTGCGTCTCTTGCTGCGAGGGGGCAAGGGTACTAACTTCTTCCATGTCAACGAACTTCTTATCGGCCATCTCGTTTCTCAACGCGTAAGCGTACTTAAATGTTTCTATCATACGGTGATATGTAAGAATCGTGCGGTTCGAGTCAGCTATACTGTCAGGAGTGAAATGGAAGTTGTCTAAAATGTTTAAAATATACGTGAGAAGAGCTCCGCTGGCAGGCATGCCAACCGTGTACAATTTCATCCCATTGAACAGGTTCGCTGTCAGTGGTTCCTCCCAGACAGCTCTGAAATTGTAATTTGTCACGAATCATTAAAGAATCAATTAATACAGATTCTTTTAACTTAATTATCATAGTCCGTTGAACGCTTCCAAGTCTTCCATTTAATACTGAATATTACCTGTACTCGTTCAAGTCCTTCATCGTTAAAATCGCCCCTTTCGACTTTAAGTCGTCTATCAAAAGCTTTCCCAAGCTGCCATTATAAAATACTGGTGCTTTATTTTCCGCGAGGGTCCGCAAAGTCTTGCAAACTGCCTTCGGCCTGATGATCGTCCCTGGTCTGTAGAAATCATTGGTGTCCGGATCCACGAACCATTTCCTGCAAAGAACCGGTTTCTAAAATCTGAACGATTGATATCTCAGCCAAGCCGTCGTAACAGCGCGATTACTTTAAGACCGGATCGTTATAAATATTCTTCGCGTTGAACTGAAATCCGTCGTGTTGGATTTTTGTCAGATTGTATCCCTCCTCGCACAGTTCGATCGAGGGTTGGAATAGATCTGCCCATGGAAGTTTACCGAAACGTTTGTGGGCCTCCCAATAGCCGGCTACTTCACCGGGAACACCGATAGACAATGGTCCTGCGTTTAAAATGGCTTTGTTGCTTAGTCGCTCGCAAGTGAAAGGTAAACAAAAAGCGGTGCTGCGTACCAATGAACGCTGCCTCCTTTGGTTTCCCTTCGTACATCGTTTCATTGGCTGCCAATGGCGCCTTGTCTCTCGCCACCAACGTGAATGCACGCTGTGTTGCTCTATCGTAGATCGTCATGAAGAAGCCACCACCTAAACCCATGCTTTGCATATTCACCAGGCCGTTGCAAATCATGGAGGCTATCGCAGCGTCCACTGCCGAACCGTTCTTCTCTAAAATCGATCTGCGAGAATTAAAGAAACATTTTCTTTATTATATTATATATATATTATATTATATTATATTATATTATATAGATGTGTATAAGAGACAGATGGGGCGCCATGCGCAGTAGTGGGCAAGTACGCTGTCTCTTATACACATCTAGATGTGTATAAGAGACAGATGGGGCGCCATGCGCAGTAGTGGGCAAGTACGCTGTCTCTTATACACATCTAGATGTGTATAAGAGACAGATGGGGCGCCATGCGCAGTAGTGGGCAAGTACGCTGTCTCTTATACACATCTAGATGTGTATAAGAGACAGATGGGGCGCCATGCGCAGTAGTGGGCAAGTACGCTGTCTCTTATACACATCTAGATGTGTATAAGAGACAGATGGGGCGCCATGCGCAGTAGTGGGCAAGTACGCTGTCTCTTATACACATCTAGATGTGTATAAGAGACAGATGGGGCGCCATGCGCAGTAGTGGGCAAGTACGCTGTCTCTTATACACATCTAGATGTGTATAAGAGACAGATGGGGCGCCATGCGCAGTAGTGGGCAAGTACGCTGTCTCTTATACACATCTAGATGTGTATAAGAGACAGATGGGGCGCCATGCGCAGTAGTGGGCAAGTACGCTGTCTCTTATACACATCTAGATGTGTATAAGAGACAGATGGGGCGCCATGCGCAGTAGTGGGCAAGTACGCTGTCTCTTATACACATCTAGATGTGTATAAGAGACAGATGGGGCGCCATGCGCAGTAGTGGGCAAGTACGCTGTCTCTTATACACATCTAGATGTGTATAAGAGACAGATGGGGCGCCATGCGCAGTAGTGGGCAAGTACGCTGTCTCTTATACACATCTAGATGTGTATAAGAGACAGATGGGGCGCCATGCGCAGTAGTGGGCAAGTACGCTGTCTCTTATACACATCTAGATGTGTATAAGAGACAGATGGGGCGCCATGCGCAGTAGTGGGCAAGTACGCTGTCTCTTATACACATCTAGATGTGTATAAGAGACAGATGGGGCGCCATGCGCAGTAGTGGGCAAGTACGCTGTCTCTTATACACATCTAGATGTGTATAAGAGACAGATGGGGCGCCATGCGCAGTAGTGGGCAAGTACGCTGTCTCTTATACACATCTAGATGTGTATAAGAGACAGATGGGGCGCCATGCGCAGTAGTGGGCAAGTACGCTGTCTCTTATACACATCTAGATGTGTATAAGAGACAGATGGGGCGCCATGCGCAGTAGTGGGCAAGTACGCTGTCTCTTATACACATCTAGATGTGTATAAGAGACAGATGGGGCGCCATGCGCAGTAGTGGGCAAGTACGCTGTCTCTTATACACATCTAGATGTGTATAAGAGACAGATGGGGCGCCATGCGCAGTAGTGGGCAAGTACGCTGTCTCTTATACACATCTAGATGTGTATAAGAGACAGATGGGGCGCCATGCGCAGTAGTGGGCAAGTACGCTGTCTCTTATACACATCTAGATGTGTATAAGAGACAGATGGGGCGCCATGCGCAGTAGTGGGCAAGTACGCTGTCTCTTATACACATCTAGATGTGTATAAGAGACAGATGGGGCGCCATGCGCAGTAGTGGGCAAGTACGCTGTCTCTTATACACATCTAGATGTGTATAAGAGACAGATGGGGCGCCATGCGCAGTAGTGGGCAAGTACGCTGTCTCTTATACACATCTAGATGTGTATAAGAGACAGATATATATATTATATTATATTATATTATATTATATTATATATATATATATTATATTATATAATAGTAATGATAGTAGAGGAGATCATGGATCCGTTGAATGCGCGCTACGCTCGAAATTTGAAGATTTGAATTACGTACTTGCCCACTACTGCGCATGGCGCCCCATCCGCGCAAACGGCGCCACGTTTGAAAGTTCTTAACTTGCTCGCAGATGGAGGCAACGCCGTTTCCGGATCCGGCGGCACTTCTTCGTTCTCATGGAATTCCAGATCTCTGTCCGCCCCATAAATACTACAAACCGCTATTATCGCTAGAATCACTGCTGCTAGTATTACGCCGGCTATTATAACGTTTTTCGTGGTGAGGTAAAACCTGTAAATCAATTGGATCGTCTGATTTCGTGTTTACCTGTTTAAACTGCAAACAAGTTTCCCGCTCGACGAATAAATGGAGAACTGAAATTGATTTATACATTGCAACGATAATTTCTTACCGTTGTAGCAATAAGGTTGCTGATTACGAATGGTACGAATTATTTATTTTTGCGGTATCACGAAAATTCAGTCCTGAAAATGTTATCATATTTGAATGATCGCATATGCGTAGTACAGAGTGCGCCACCTGATAATTGCGCGCGAAAGGTGAAGGTATGTCGAAAGATATTTTCGATTGTGATTTTGGGTATCGTACGTCAGTTCGCGATTGAAAGTGCATCTAAGTTGACGCGTTTGTTTATAAAAAAATTTCGTCATTTACAAGTTTGAACAGTTCTGATCGTGTCAATCTAGGCGAGTTTATTATTGAACAATTCATTTAATATTGTACTGTTTGTGACATCTAAGACCAAACTGGCATTTGATCAAATCATCGGAAAACGAGACGATGAATGTACAGATTCTGTTTAGGTTATGTGCAACAGCATCTTGGTAAGTGTTACCTAACTTTGACAAATTCCTGCATGAAAACATACAAATTTGTTTACAAATCCGTCTAAACATACAAATTTGTTAAAAATAATATTGTACTGTCATTCGAGTTGACCTTATCGTTGGACTTTGAAGTTTGATCCATCAGTGTCAATAACAACGTAATTGGATGTTTAATCCTCAGAAACTGATACGATTATCAGCTGGAATAACAACAACAATTTCCGTGCGTCTTACGTATGAATAAGTGTGTGAAATATATCATCGTTCTCATAGTTTCATAATATTCTATTTAAAGAACAAAAAATGATTTTCGTTCTGATCGAGTCTACCCGAGTCGGATGAGTACCTCGGATGCGTTTTCTTAACATAACTCTGCATCCACGAAATCTCCTATAAAAATAGTTGGTGTCTTTTTGCGCGATCGAAATTCGCGCCAAAAATTCACTCACTTGTTGACAAAGTGTCTTGTGAAGAATCCGGCCACTCTGTTGTGCCCGGGCGAGTACGATCGCAAAAGCCGAGCCGTCCCGATTTCGTCCGAGTCGAGGAAATTACGTTTGTCATTATCATAATACTGACGGATGTCGTCGGTACTTGCATACGCAGAACTCGTGCTGGACGATGCCGAGGACGTCATGATTTTTCTTTGCTACAAAGGAAAAGTGTCAGAGAGACACAGGATTCCGCATTGTTTCATCAAGAGAATGGTTGTTCGCGAGGCGAACGGCTATCGCCATCTTCAGTCGGCTCGATCAAACATGTCGCGTTTGACAGGTGCCAGATCCGGCGAATCACTCACTTTGATAATTAGACGGTTCTTGATCACCATTTACAGTCGAATCCCTTTGTGTTTTACATGGCTCTGCTTCATACGGAATCTCTCAGCCATTTCGGACGTGTCTCCACCGGTAGTCGCATATCGAAAATCGCGAGAAACGGTAACTGTATCGTTCCGCGGCGGATGCCACCAGCTGACTAGACCAAAATAAATCTGAACATGCGCGTTGCATCTTCTTCCAGGATTCTCGCGTGCACATGCGGCCCTCGATGATTTCTGGACCGAGATCGCTGAGGGTTTTGCATCCTTCTGATGCTGTACAAATGGCACCATAAGCTCAAACAATTCGCCGTGCGCACGCTATTCAAATTTTTTATTTTTACCGCCAATTGGAGGGTTGATAAGATTCGAATTAAGTCTTGATAATTAGATCCATTTGAGATGAACATTTTCTGAGTTTGTACTACACACTGAATCAATTCAACCGTACGCAACTGGAATTTTTACTTTCAATTATTTCTAACGGGTATTGTTTACGTAGCGGATTTTTTATTTGAAAATTCGTAGAAAGAAACAAATGATTTTCATTTCTATTTAATCCCAAAACTGAACAGATATTTAAATCGTCTTAAATTTCAGTGAAATTGTGAATTCTAACCCTCATGGTAACATAAACATGTTCACCTATACGTGGCTTGCGGCCAGCGATTATCGGCTGATGATAAAACAGACAAATGCTACCAGATAATGCTAACACATAGCTACCAAATAATTCTGATTCATTGATAACTAGTCTGCAAATCATTCTACAGATATAAATTTTGAAGTGGTAATTTATAAGAAATGAAACTTATGAGAAATATTTCTCCATTTTAGTTCAACGAAGACACGAATACTGTTAATATTGTCTAAACACTTTCCTATATCGATTTTGAAGATGTGAAAGACACAGAATTTATAAAATTTCGCAATCTGTCGATAACGCTTGCAATTAACGCATTTTATATTTCTCGCTTCTGCTTCTTTTATTTTTAACCTCGTATTTATAAAATTTTATGCTATATTAATAAGAAAACAGGATAAACAAGTGATATTGTATAAGTTAGATATTATTTATAGGATTTAGAATATACAATATAAGTTAGAAGTCGGTCGAACTAAGAACAAGTTTTTCAAATGTGTTTAAGGATTAGTTCATTACATTATTTCTTGCTAATCAATGCCGTTTGATCTGATCAATAAGATTAGCAGAGCGATCAAAGGGTCGTGATGCACGTAGAGCATGATAATGTTTAATTAGCGGGATTAAACGGGGGCTCACGAACGCCGATATTATAACGAAACAATGAAACTTGCAATTAAGATGAGTTATATATCTAGGTCGTAGTACGCGCGGGGTACGAGCCATCGGGAAGTGGCATGCAATTGCGACAATTTATAGCGGATATTCGACAATTATAGGAACCGCCAAGCTCCGCATAATGCGAATCAGCAAAACGCGGACGCAGAAAACGATCTGACCACGCGATTGCCACGGACAACAATCGGTCAGAACAACCAATATGTGTATTATCGTTAATCTCATTGCTATCACATAGTTATACCCACTGATATGAAAGAAATACGAAACTTCCTGTAGAAATTCGATTCTTTCGACAAACTCGAACCGCTTGTGAATCACTTCGTGACAGAATTACAGGTGTTTTAAAAAGCAAGTGACAGGACATTTTTGTTTAGAAGCCTTTTTTTCATAGAATATTTGCTATTAACATTTCTTCAATCCTTGAAGTTTTTCAAAGTTCAATTCCATTGAATTATTCAACCTGATACGTAAATTAATTTAATACGACGAAAGTTTCATTTCATAGATAATGTAGAATTTCATATATCTCCGCTTCGTCGTGACATAAGTGAAGTTAGTTTCATAGATAGTGTTTTAATGTTTTTCGTAGAAGTGTTTTAATTATTCTTGCAGCATTTCGCACCGTTAATTAAGAAATGTTCGCGAGCTTACCTCGGCTCCTTCCTAGTCTCCTCGATTTCTTCGAAGCTGTTTCTCCTGGTCATTGTGTTTCGTGGCTAGTTGCTATCAAGTTTCGTCAGCTCTCGAAAAAGAAGACTGCGTGAACGCTCGTCACAGTAGTACACAACCGACCCGGTTGTAAATTAGATAAAAAAACGCGCGTAGAAACGTGTACAACGATATCTAACGTTCAGTATATGTTTCGACGAAAATGATTGTGCCATATTTACGCGTCCGAGCGGTTACGTCCCCTGGAAAAAAAGAAACATCCATTATCGACCTTTATCGAAAGATGTTTTCCATCTAAGGATGTTTTCTATCCGAAAGGATTTCCGGCAACGAAATTTCTCGTCAATGGACACAAATTTTTCATTCCGTTTCGAAAGTTCCAAATCAAACTGGGAAACAGTAACATTCGTAGTTTAGTTATTACTGGACTGCGGGTTTTTATGCAAAATGAACATTGCCCGCATCATTTGCAAGAAATAGAAAACGATCAGTAGGTTCCTTCTTCACTTATTAATTGTAACGGACTGAAAATATAATACATTGTCATTTTTAAATCTTTCTACTATTTTAATCTTTTAATCTTTTACTTTTTAAGCTTTTAATCTTTCTACTATTTTAAATTGTAACTATTCCATTTTGGCAAATCGCAGTTTTGTTATGATTTCTAATACTTTTGACCAAAAACTGTAAGAAATCTGCAGTTTTTTCAATCTTCCAACTCCTGTAGGCGATATAGGAGATTCAACGCCTCTATATGATCGCGATCGGTACTTTAGCGATTTGTCGATTGTGGTCTTTGTTCGAAATAACACGTGATCGAGAAATCAAAAACCGTCCGCGCGTGTTCAAACACTCGCGGAGATGCCATTACGTAACGGGCGGACGTCATGTTGGGGAGCCCGCTACCCTCGACTCCATTCGGTCTCGAACACTGGGTTAACCGATTTCGATCAAATATTCATCATGCATGTTAGCTACCGAGATCTACGAAAGTCATTTTTTAAATTTTCGTTATAGGCTCAGATAAAAAAATTAAAAAGCGAGAGTTTTCATTTTTGTTGTCATTCCAAGTTACAAATACGAAAATTAAAAAAAAAAATAGCATTTCAGTTATTGTCTAGTAGGCTAGCCTCCCCATCATGTAAACAAAATTCAGGTCTTTTAGACGAGTTTTAAAAAAGTTATTGCGTCTTAACCCTTCGCACTCGACTGGTGACTCCGATTCATCACTTAAAATTTTTATACGGGATGTCAAAAAAAGAGTTTGGAAATTTTAAGAACTTATGGTGCTCAGCGAGTGGAGTAAAAAATGTTCATAGGTCCAAAGACACAGGTCCAAAGATCATCCCTTCAAGGTACGTTAACAATCTTGTGTTGACAACCTTGAACGTACTTCTGAATCAATTTCTCTACATTCAATGCGTCGCATTACGTTATTCGATTTTCTTAGATAGTAAAAGTCGATTTTCTGTCGAAAGGGCTGTCTTTTGGACCTGTCGATTGAACATATTTTACTTCTCTAGCCGGATTACCATAAAGTTCTTAAACTCTTGAAACACCTCCTTTTAACACCCTGTATAACGTTTCAAAATAATTTTAACATTAGCAAACTTGTTTATATTTTAAACACTATTACAAGCGTAATTGTTCAGTGAGTCACAAAATCCAATTTCACATATACAGTAGATTCTGCACAATTATCGCTCGGCTTGTAAACAAAAATAGACAATTTGTAGTCACCGATTGTTAACAACGATAAAAACAAGCCGCGAGCTTCGAATGATCGTATCTCCTCTTCCCTAAGAGGAAAGCTGAGCCCCATTTGGAGAGTATTTACTGTACATGAATTCACTTAAGTCATACACAAAATGGAGATAACGTAAAGCAGAAAAACTATTTTGAATTCAGAGCTAAAATGGTTTCGAATGCAAAGGGTTAAAAGGTGTACGCACACTTTTATGGGTCGCTGTATGTGGCACGACGGATGTCTACAGAAAGCCAGCCGAATATCAAAGACAATCATCGCTTAAAATTTTTCCTTCATCGAACGAACAAAATCTGGTTGATCGAAGAAACATCTCCGAAAGGGATAACGCGCAAAGACGTAGTGTCCGCTGACGAACCGGTTCGGTAAATCTTGGCGACGCTGATGCACCAGGAGGAAATCGCGTATGACAGTATGTACCTTGTTCAGCATTCGTTCTGGTTCCCCGGCGACCTTGGCAGTTTCATTATCCGGCGTGACCCAAGTTCGCGATCGGTCTCGATTCACCACTAATGAGATCCGTGCTCGCCGGCCCGTATTATCGAGCGTGTAACGCGGATACGCGCGATTTGCTGAGAGGAGCGAAGCGGATTGAGAGAGTTCAGCGCGTTGTCACATCGACCGTCGAGGACGGTGTTGTCGTCCGTGTCTGAACACCGTTTGCCGGCGCAGTGTTGCACCGGGGGCCGGATCGGCGGGGTCTCTCCACGAAAACGTTTACGAAACATGTTTGCGAGGTGGCGAGCACCGGAGAAGGGAGGATTTGTTCCTCGCCGAGAGCCGACCGGCCCGAATAAATGCTTCTTATCTGAATTCCGGCGGCGACAGGGGACAGGGTGTGCTCGATGGATCGGCCCGGTTTCTAAAAGGGGCCCCTTGTTCCACCAGCCAGTACACGCGTGCCGTTTCTTGCTGCTTACTGCTCGTCGAATTACCAGTTTTTCTGGTCCAGAGGCCAAATGCGGCCTGTCTGGCGAGACGGGAAATTTGAATCCGTAACGAGACGCTGCTGGCGCCGATCACGCTTTCGAGATCATCCTGTTCCACCATCCGCTCCGGATGGGTCCGAGGCAGCATTTTTACTCCGTTGCTGATAGCTGTGCTTCTGACAGTGTTCTCACCCCGTCGATCATCAAGGATTTTTGTTTGAGACGCATTTTCTGCGGAAATGAGTCCAGCTTTGGGAAGCGCTTGTTTTAAGACATTGTATAGTTTAACGATGCTTAGATTCGATTTTTGTCAGCTTCTTTGCGCTAATAATTAAGCGGCTATCATTTTAACCATTTGCTGCACGCTTCTCTTCACTACCTTCGATCATTTCTCGGGCGTTAGTCAATTTCCAAAGAGCTTTTGTATTCATTGTATAGGTATATTGTTCTTCGATTCTCGTGAATCATCGGGTCAGAATCATGATTTTGACTCTGTTGGAATTCCGTGAATTCTGTTAAGTGAATCTGATTATAGAAAGACACTGTTTTAGGACACTATACTAGTTTGAAGATGTTTAGTTTTCTTTTCCTTAGACATATCATTCCATCTTGGCTACCATTTTAAACCTCTACTCCACGATTCTATTCGCTGCTTTTGCAATTATTTTCAATTATTTCGTTGTTAATGAATGTCTAAAGGACGAAGTAAACTTTTGTATTAATGAACTTTATTGGTTTCCTTACGGA